TTGAAATCTTCTATTGTTCAGTTTCCTTTTTTTAGCAGACCATCTGCTTCAAGGTCTGTTGCAGATTTAGTGATAACAAGTGGTTATTTGAATTACTTATGTTTCAATTCTGAGATGGTTGTGTTGGAAAATCCCAGTTGATCAGCAGGTTCTGATCTACTGGTGACCATCTGACCCCAACAACCATGCCAAATATATAGTATATACTTAAATCACCTTTCTTCCCCATTCTGATCCCCGGTTTGAACTTGAACAGGTCGTCTTGCCCACGTCTACGTGCCTAAAGACACTGAATTGCTGCCATGTGATTGGCTGATTAGCAGGTGCGCCTAATAAAGTGGCTGACGAGTGTAATTGCCTCTACAATGAATCTTAATGTCTTTTTGCTATATGCTATGAAAATGTTGACATTTGAGGGTTTCATACAAATGCATAAAAACACTGTACAAAGGTTCATGTGTCCATCAGGATGATATTTTTTGAAAACTGTGTGGCTCCCACAACTTTTGCTTTCTGTGCCATTATTCACTCCTTTTCTAGTGACAGACTCTTAATTTTGACCAAAAACGGACATTCACAACAGTCTGAGTGATTTTTAGGGAGTTTACGTTCCTCCACATTTTCTAAGGCAATTTGATGTTAATATATGCAAGTTGAAGTAAATCTGAGCTTTATTTCTGCCTCTTCTCGCCATCTTCAGGCCAATATATTATTACCGTGGGAATGAACTGATGGCTGTGAGGCTTGGAGAATACAAGGCACACTACTGGACCTGGAGCAACTCATGGGAGGAGTTTAGACAGGTGAGATTTCCTCTGAACAGTTCAACTCTGTTCCTCAGTTCTTCATTTGCACTGCCACATCCTCCTCCTTTGTCTCTCCTAATCGCACTCAAACACACAAACACTTTGGCTGTTGCTGGTGTTATCTTGAGAGCGGCTCATCAGTTGACTGCTGTGTACATCAGTGTAATGAATATTAATGAAGAGCCCCCACATAAGCGAATGTACATCATTCATCAACCAGATGACTTGTTTGTTCAAACTCCAGTGGAAATACCCCCCCCCCAAATTTACATATCGTCATTACCTGCTTGTTCTTTTGGCATCATAGCGCTCAGGCATAATTACATCAACTCAGTGCAGATTAAAAATATCAATAGAAATGTGAAATCTGGCACCTGAGAAGCTAAAGTATAGTGCGTTTTCTTTTTCTTTTTCTTTTTTCCGTGGCTACCCCGAGCCCATCTATAAAAACATGTCCTTCTGTCCTCCCTCCATGGCTATGCCTTTCCTGTGATCCAGTTTGTTTTATGCCCCATCGGTTGCTTAAATTGCTCTCTCCTTCAGGGCCGCTGAATCAATAGTAGCCTCCTTTATCAACTCATGTGAACTGAAGTGGAACTTCACAAATAATGGCGTCTGATTGCCTGTGAGTTGCCTATCGATTGGTATGTGTGTGTGTGTGTGTGCACATGGGAGAGAGAAAAGACAGAATGGAAAAAAAACATGCACATACATGTTCGGGCTTCTTTGTACAGACGTGCGTGTCTAGTCTGTTTCGCTGACTGACGGTTGAGCTCCTACAAGACAAATCTCCGATGTCATTATGAACTCCTAAACTGTTTCTTCTTGTGTTGCCCACATTCACTTTTCATACATCTGCTTTAAAGGTAATGCTCTACTTTCTTTGGAATTGATCATTCCTACTAAACTCATGTTAGAGATAACCCACCCCATATACACTGAGGATTAACCCGTCTCATGATAGTGATACACAATGAGATCCACTCCTCACTGAAATGAAACGTGTATTGCTGCTTTGTAAGTAATGTGCTGCAGTACAATTTGGCTTTTTTTGTGCTCCTTGCTGAAAAATAAACAAGGAAGGAAGATGTGTGTCTCTAAAGAAGAATGAAATTACAGGTTAATGGCTGGGAGACGTGTTGCTCTGTCCTGGCTGAGTCTGTGCTGCTCAGCCATGAGGAAAATGAGAAATTTCACAGGCTTAAATGCCTCTCATCAAATTCTTTTGAGGCAGCGTATTGATGTTAATATTGTGAAACATAGTTTCTCATGACTGTGTCTCCCTTTTATCTGGATTGCTGAGTAACCTATGCAACTGTGAGTAGCCTTGCTGAATGCTTCATATGGCAAAAACTGAAAAAGGAAGTTTTTTTGAGACAAGTGTCCTGGGAATACCTCTTTCTTGGCATCACTGAAACTGAAGAAATTGACAAGAATTAGGCTGTGCCATAGCTGATGTACTTTAAACTTGAATTATAAGTTTTAGAATTTGTTTTTTTTTACATTAACACACTTTAATGCACACTGGTGAAAAAAACACAATCAGTCTTTAATTTAGTAAAAGTACTAATTCATAAATGAAAGAATGAAAGCACATATGATGGTGTCCAAATATTTCCAACAATGTCACATCATTTTACACTCTCTGGTTACTCTAACACTGTAAACACTTGTTAATAATGGTGACAATAAGCTTAAAGTAATTCAAATATTCACTAAGTTATTCTGAGCATCGGATATAACATTAGCTCAAGTAACAGCTTAAGCAGTCAACTCATCTGATGCTAGGTTAGCAGTTAATGTTACTGCAGCTAATGCTACTTGTTGCCTTTTGATCTATATTAAATAAAAGATTTATTAGAATAAAAAATAGTGTGAATGAAACTGTAATAAACTCAGCTCAAGTCGCATCATTTCATCAGAAATGTTGAAAAAGACTAACTCCCGTGATTCCTCATAGCATCATGTTATTGTATTGACTGACAAACCCCAGGCAGCAGAAATTATTGTTCATTCAAGTAAAAGCACAAATAAATTATCATACTTGGAGCTTCCCTCCAGTCAGTAACGTGTTTTGGTTGGAGTTGTTTCTTTTAAATGTTTTGCCTTCATTCTGCAGAACAGTAAAGCACACCCTCTTTAAATTCAAAGGTTTTACAAATCAGGACATAATAAAAATAATCTGGTCCTTAGCAAGTCTTAAAGCAAGGCAACCACATATGAAAAATAACACATAGCATATTACACTTTTGCCAGTTTGCACGTCTTGAGCATTCTGGTGAGTGTTAACACAATGCCAAGGAGGAAAGATATCAGCAATAGAGAAGCAATTATTGCTGCCAATCAATCTGGGAAGGGTTAAAAGGACATTTCCAAACAATTTGAAGTCCATCAATCTGCACTGAGAAAGATTATTCACTGGTGGAAAACATTTAAGACAGCTGCCAATCTTCCCAGCAGTGGACGTCCCAGCAGATTCACCCCAAGGTCAGGCCATGCAATGCTCAAAGACCAAAAAATCTGCAACCTACATCTGAGACTCTACAGGTCTTAGTTAGCATCTTAAATGTTCATAACAGTACAATTAGAAAAAGGCTGAACAAGTATGGTTTGTTTGGAAAGCCTGCCGTGGAGAGAAAGTCTCTTCTCTGTAAAAAGAACATGGGAACACAGCTTAGATGTTAAACCTGAACAAACCACAAGATGTTTGGAATAATGTCAATTAAACAGACAGCGCCAAAGTGGAGATGTTTACCCATAATGCACTGCACCACATTTGGTGAAAACCAATCACGCCATTACCATTACAAATACCTCATACCAACTGTCAAGCACGGTGGTGGAGGGGGTGAGGATTTGGGTTTGTTTTGCAGCCACTGGACCTGGACACCTTGCAGTCACTCCTCTGTATACCGAAGTATGTCAAATGTGCATGCATCGTAATGGCCCAGACAAAATTCAAACCTCAGTAAAATGTATAAATTCACATAAATGAATTTTAATAAATCAATAAATGAATGGCTGCAAACGTCAATGAATGGAAGCAACCTTGTAAATAAGAGTGGACCAAAATTCCTCCACAACAATGTGAAAGCAAAATGTTATTGAGAAGGTGTAAAACCACCTATAGCAGCAAAACTAAGCTGCTTCTTGCAAGAGGATGGATTTCCTTTAAACAGGGATTGTATTAATTTTGTGACAGTAAAACTAGGATTTTGTTGTAGTCCAATCATTTATTTACATGAATCCAGCATAGAAATTCTCCTGTTGTGTTAGTTGAAGCTCTCTTAATCACTCACAACTGATATACATGCAAAAATGTCCTGTTTTAGCTCAGTTTCGATGCTTGTTAAGATAGAGCAAATGCAAATACTCCAGTCAACTTAAAGTTAAGTTGTTTAATATCACCAACTACAATGGCCATAACACAGATCTGAGGGTTCATGAGAGGTTTGATTGGTATGTACGAAAAAACATTTTTTTTAACAGTTTTTAAATGTTTTTTTTGTCAAATACATTTTACTATCTTTACCCGTTTCTGTTCTTTAAATTGCTGTTCAGATTAGTCAAATATTCAGTATGTGAAAGAAAGAATATATTTAAACATTGTCCAGTCTACATAAAACATTCCAGCCAAATCAAATACTTTTTCCTCATTCCCATCCCCAAAATCCACGCTCCCACCCATGGATGCTCCTGCACCTTATCTTGTAATGACAACCACGGTGCTCCAGTTTAAAAGCAGCCTTGCTGTATCCATCGCATTAATGTCATGTGAGATATGGAGTTCTTGCTCTAATATCTTGGCTACAAGAGAAAAAGTCAGACAGATACACACAGCAGGCCTTTCTTGCTGCTCCTCTGGGATGTTTTTTTTGCCCCCCTGATTCTTTTCTGCATTTCTAAGCAGTTGACTTTAAAAGGCAGGACAAGTCTGGATCAGTGGAAGCTCTGCAGGGCGGGGGGTATCTATCTTCACTCTCACTCTTTCTCTCTTTTCTATATGTATTTTGAGGTGCTCCGTTGAGTGATCTCAGAGGGGGGGGCAGCAACAGTGTCTTACAGATGAATGCTTTTTCAATATTAGTTGTGCTCATCAAAAAAAAAAGCAAAAGTGTGAGTTTGTTTGTGCGTGCGTGTGCTTATGTGTGTATTAAAGGAGGAGGCAGATCTCCAGGGGGTTCTGGAGGAGTGAGTGTGACTCAATCAGGCTGCGATCACTGCCAGGCTCCTGAGAAATAGAGTCAGGGAGCAGGAGCGAAGGCGTGGAGAGATGAAGAGGAGGCAGCAAAATTTCTCTGTTTTGCGAGAAAGCCTTCACGGTGTACCAACAGGAGCACAAATAACACAGCAGATTGGAAGACAATATGCATATAACCCATACTACAATGAGATTAAGTATTCAGCTCTTGGCAGCAGGTGGCTGCAAGCCTAAACCTAAACACTCACATCTCTCCTGCCGAGCTTAGTGCAGTGTTTTTTCTTTTTTTAATTGGACATGATGAAGCGCATAAAAACATCTTTAACCATCAAACTTAAAGACAAATTGTAATCACATTACTGAGATCCTTATTTTCACGATGTCTTAAGTGTCATTTATGTGGTGCAATACGAGCCAAAGCAAATATTCTATTTCTTCTATTTCTTCAGATATTATGGTTCATGTTTAATTTAGGATAGTATTTCAGGCAGGTCTGCTTTTTGTGTCATAGATTAGTCTTCTACAAGAATAAGCACAGACGGCAGCGGCCGTGCTGCTGCCACACGAGTATCGATTTGTGTTTGGTGAACTGATGCTTCAGCAGGCATATAAACTGGAAAATATAGACAGAAGAAAGGTTCCACTGCTTTAAAATGTTGATTTTAAAACAAATGGAATCAATTGTAGAATACTTATTCTGGGGTAGATTAAAGTACAGGCAGTCTAGGTGAAGGACTTTACCTGTAGCTCAGATCAGTGTGCTTAATAACACGTGTCATATGTTTTACAGGGCATAAACTTCTGTCCGGGTGAAGAGGTGCCAAATGTGACTACTCACGAGCAGAAGGAGCACACACTCCAGCCACTCATTTTCCACCTGGGGCGGGATCCTGGAGAAAAGTTCCCTCTCAGGTCAGTACCTTAAAAAAGTTCAAATTTGCTTTTAGCTGATCTCCAGGAAATGGACAGAGAGGATCAGGGGTGAGGTGTGGAGAAAAGGGGAGTCAAGCAGGCTAACAGGGAAAAAGCTGTGGGGGGAAAAAGGGAAGAAAGCAGGGATAAGAATAAGAAGGTTGTTTGCCCGTGGTACTGAATGTGTGCAAGATCAATGAAGATTTAGCAGCATGAAAAAAAGAAAAAGGCGGCGGATTGATCCACTCAGCCAGAGCACGCCTGATTACACCCTTCTCTTTGTGATTGCAAACAGCTCCTTAAAGATCACTATCGGGCCCTCAACCCTTTGGTACATCGCTGCAGGTTAAAATTGCAAGATAAATTGTTCAGGTCTAAATTGAGAGCTAGTTCTGTTTAATGTGTTTTGTGTGGGTCTGCCTCCTCTCCAAGGAGAGTTAAGAATCACGGAGACAGGATGCAAACGGCCGAGGTTGAACTATTACTAAATATGGGTGAAAAGATGAATGAGCACGGTCTTCTGCTCTGCCTGGACAGCGCGAGATGTTGAATGTGACCATGTGGACTTTTTTTTTAAATGACAGAGTGACTAATACATTAAGATAATCTCAAAATGCTTTCAGGAGAGAATTTTCTGTGGCTCCTCCTGTCATAAACCCTCTTAGACTGACCTTTCTTTTCTGCCTTCTGCAGCTTAGCCGTTCATACTTTTTTTGCTCTAGCCTCATCTCCTCATTTGCTTCCTGCTTGTGCTCCTCTCTGTTCTGGAGCGAGATTGGATGATAAAACATTAATGCTGTTTTTCGTTTGCCCACCTTTTAGCCTTGCTATTCACTCGGAGGAATAAAAAAAAGGCAGAAACCAATCAATATGCAGCCATGTGTTGTGCTGAGTGCTAGATGTGCACACACACACACATCCACACAAACCAAAACTGCCCATTTATTTTATTCTTTTACTTCTGCACAGAGGGGTTAGTGAGTTTGTCTCCAAGGTCACGCCCCCGCCAACGCCAAGCTGCCTGACCTCTTCACTGTTCACGCGCCGTTCTTCTTCGATCCGTTTTAATCTTCACTATAAATTCTCCTTCTTCGCCAAACTTGTTTTCCCTTCTCGCACCTTCTCCCTCCACCTACTGCTATGCATCTCATCTCACTTGTCGCCTCTCAGCTGCTGTCCCTCTGCATCCGCCGGGACTGTGCTCCTCCATCCACACGTGTGTGTGTGTGTGTGTGTGTGTGTGTGTGTGTGTGTGTGTGTGTGTGTGTGTGTGTGTGTGAGTTTTTCTGCACATGTGCATGCGTGTGTTTTGTCCGTGTGCTCTCAGGTCCCCCAGCTGGACCGGCTGCCTGGCCATCATTAATCTTAGTCAGCACCTAAAGAGCCACTTAAGATGATGTAGGGCCTGTCTGTGCACATACCTTCACTACTGTCGCAGGCTGTGATGTAGCAAAGAGCGCACACATGTACACGGTTTCTGTTCCTGCACAGTTTCATGTCATTATGGAGATTTTTGAATTATTTCCTTTTTTTAAGTTCTAGTTGTTTCCATTTTGCTTTGTGAGAGCAAAAAAAACGCCTTGCTGCTATTGTAAATGAATGTGGGCCTGGGGAGGATGACAGGGTCTGTGTTGGTGGTCCTTCTGTCCAGGATGAAACACAGACCCATCCAGGTTTGCATCAGCCTAACTCGATGATGGCTACGCTGGACTCTCAAAGCCTCTCTCTGCCTCCCACATTACCCTTCGTCCCTGTGACCTAGTGCCCTGAGATTAACACATCCTACTTCCTCACCACCTACCTCGGCTTTTGTCCCCAGAGCCCCCGGGTCATGTGTGGTGTAAGCCCCAGCCCTAACACTGCAGGCAGCCTTGCTCAAGTCTGGCCTCATCTGCTGCCTGCCACCATGCTCTTCTGTCCCCAATCAATAGTCCCTCACTGAAGTGCTCAATTTCCACCAGGGTGGAGAAGATGGTGGAGGGGAGGGGCAGGCAGGACAGATGTATCTGATTGTCTCCTCAATTCCCCCACCTTCTGCTACTGTGTGGTTGTTTGTGTGTATGTGTTCCAGCAATAGTGTTATGAATCAGTAATCAGAGCGGTGACACACCTGAGCTATGCCCCCATCCCCCTTGGGTGCCATACATTATAAATCAAAAGACTCCATTTGCATACAGCCTGCTTATTATTCCAGATTTTGCCTCTACACTAGTAAGCTAAGGGTTATAATCATGATAATGAGCTGTGCTGACTGTGGGCTTTTCATTATTTGTTTGCAGAAGGGGTATAAACAAATGATATTATTAGTTTTTGATTTAGAGCTTCTGCACTGTAAGATTTTTGGCGCATAGACAAAACAATGGAAAACTTTGCGTCTCGTGCAACTTTCTCGCGCTTTGCTTTACTTTGCTTTGCACACTTGCACGGAGAAATTGAATACTTACAGCAGCCTGATAAATCTCCCTTACATTTACTTCTGTTAAGCTGCTTCATCACTTATCGCAAAATGAATCGCAACAATCAGGAGCCGGCACAGATAGGAGGGGAATGAAATATCCCTCTTGCTGATCGAGATCGAGCAAAAAGCAGAATTTGTGATTTCAGATAGCTGAAGCAATTTAATCTGAATGCTGGATGTTTAACGCAGCGGAGCAATCTGGTTTTTCCCTATCAGCTAGGGTCACAATGCATAGATAGTTAGCTTATGACAAACGCAGCGCACAAGGAGAGAGACTAATTGCAGCGAGCGCTACCAGTCAAGTAATTGCAGGAGGAAGTAAAGAGTGAGTATCAAGGAAAGGAGCAGGTGCTGGTTGATGGAGGAAGCCTTGCTGCCCTGTGGGAGATCTAAGAGGGAGGGTAGGTGTGAGCTGGACAGGGCCTGAGGTTATTACTCTAATTGACACTTCACCTCACACACATGCACATGTTCCCCAGGGGCCAATCAGAGCATTGCGTTTGCAGTGGAGGGAGGATGGAAGGCTGGCACAGGTGCTGCCTGCGAGTGTATCAGGGGTGTAATTGCACTGCTGATATTTGTCTATCCCTGTGTCACGCCACCAGACGCTCACTCCCCCAACACACACACACAGAGCCCATTAACCCTACAGGTCCTATTGAGAGCAGCGTTCCTTTGAAAGCCTTCAGGGCCCCTGTGTTTTACACTCTGAATATAATAATGCACAGAGGTGCCCAGGCTCACTGGTGTCCAACAACAGTAATTGAGAGACAGGGGATGTGATGGGGGTTACATAGTTCATCCTGCTGAGCGTGCCTTCCCAAAGGGTACAAGAGTGGACAGCCTGTGTGTGTGTTTATGTGTTTAGGTTTCTGTTTTTGTCATCGAAAGCTGCGGCTCGTCTCCCCACCAATATAATGAGTAACGCTCGTGGGCTGCAGTCATGTTTTGTCACTAGATACATGAACAGAAAGGCAGAAAAATGGGTGATCTTTATTCTGTGTGTTTCAAACACAAAAGCAGCCTTGCCTTTCTCATATGTACTAATATATGTCCAGAACATAAAACAACTGGTTCCATTCAGGGTTAACTGTTCAGATTGCTGTTAAAGAAAATTTGGTATTAAATATATTAAAATCTGATTTTATTCTTTGTAACATTACTACAAGATGATGTCATCAATTAGTCAAATATACTTTGCGTCTCTGTTGACAATCATTCAATTTAAAGCACAAAATTTTCTCACATGTTAGTTTTTATCATGTTTCCTTGTCATGCATCAATATAAATGAATCATGTTTGGAGTTTTGGAGCTTTGGTTAGCTAAAATGATAATCATTCACTTGGAAGTGCTCTGCCGATAATACCCAGCTGTTTATTGTGTTGGCAGTGTTCTTTCTAAGGAGTACCAGGACGCTTTGAGCAGGATATCTGCAGTTGTGCAGCAGCATAAAGACACTCTGGTGCCCGGCATTCCCCAGCTCAACATGTGTGACAGTGCAGTGATGGTGAGACACAATATAACTAAATATGTCTCTTACAGTCATGTTTAAGATCAGTTGTCATGTTGTAAATCCGACTACTAGATCAGGTGCTCTTCTCAGCTGTATACATCAGATAAATTGATATGTAAGTGACAATGATAAACCCTTTAAGGGCCAGAAAGAATTAAAAGTCTATGGGAGAACAAGCTAAAATAGAGAAGGCTCCTGGCCTTGCTTTGAATCAATCGTAGCTTTTATTTTGTTGTTTGTGTGCTAACTTTACATATCAGTGTGTACCGATTTGATGTCTGGAACTTTCTCTTTCAGTGTTATTGTAACGGTATTATTTAAAAAGCAGCCTGGCTTTGTCTCCCCAAGCGCCCACCTTATTTGTGGCATGGCACTGCCCCCTGGTGGTCATTCAAATAAACATGCTACATTGCGTCCAATTCCTGTCTTTGATAGAAGTGTGATAATTTAAATGCTTAAAAGCCTGAATTTTTGCATCTTTTTATTCTGCATTTTTCATAAGGAAAAGTACATTTTTTAAAATCTTTTTAACATGGTTTTGTCATGAGGACTTACTTTTAGAGTAATGGTGCACAAGAAAATGTGCACAACCTAGTAGGTAATACGACCGCTCAAGGTCAAACTGGTAAATTTGAAGTAAGAAGACATTAAAATTTCATGGCACCACTTCAGTATTTGAAAAATACACTTTATGCATGGTATGTATTGGGAAAGAATAATCAGTTTTTCAAACAGTTACGTTTTTTGATGAAAAATGTTACACAGGGATAATATGAATTCATAGTTTAACATTTAAAAAAGAAAAAGACTTGATACGAACCAGAACACAGGACAGGAAACAAATATTATCTGCTGCTTTCAGCCTAGTGAAGATCAGTTACGACTTTAAAAATCAGCAATGCATTGTACTGCAGAGCAATCATATATTTGATACTTTCATTTTGCTGTACTTACTGTGTGGACCTCTCTGTTTTATAGAACTGGGCCCCCGCTGGCTGTGAGAAGTTGGGAAAGTGTCTGAAACCGCCCGAGTCTAACCCCTGGAAGTGCAACTGGCCACACTGAGAGCAAAAGTACTGGACACCAACATGAGGAACTGAAACCTGAAGATGTGCCAAGCCATAGAATAGGACACAGCCTCTGTGTGTAAAGGAATGTATTTTTAAACTCTTTGTGTTTTTGTACAATGTTTGAAGAAAAGAGCATTCGGTCAAATCAGGGAAACGTGTTTGCAAACTATGATTGCGGTTATTTTTACATCTGTGTGTTTTAATCTGCCAATTCTATTTCAACTTGCTACGGAATGGATAAAACAGATTTTATTGGTGTAGATCAAGGATGCCAAACTCATTTTACATTGTGAGCCACATACATCCCACTTTAATTTGAAGTGGGCCATACCAGTGAAACTTCCCTTTCTGTCTTTAATTACACATTTAATCCTTGAGATATCTTAATATGAGCAATAGAAGTGCAATTTCAGCTGCATTTATCAGGTTTTTTTCTACGTGGTAAAGAAATGCTGCTCAAGTTAATGAAACAAGTCTGTCAGCACTCTTACACTGTAAGAAATAAATTGTATGGGCTTAAATTGTGAGAAATAAAGATGTAAAATTGGGTGTAAAAAGAAAAGGTGTATTTATGTGTACAGTGCATAGGTTTAGTGGATACACAGGGTATCTTGTGAATCCACTGTAAAACACACACACACACACACAAAGAAATTCCTATACTATATTTTCATTATTTCATTTTTTATGTATGTTTAACTTATGTGTCAGGTCATCATCAGTCAAAATAAAGCTGTAACACCTATAAACATATAGTTAAAAGGGCAACAATTGCACCTTCCTTCACATTTTTAAATGCTTTTCAGTTAGGCCGGATTAGAGTCTCTGCCGGGGTGATTCTGGCCCCCGGGCCTTGTGTTTGACACCTTTGCTGTAGATGGTGGGTCATTGTCATTATTGTATACTACTCAAACACAGGAATCCAAATTGAACACAGCGTCATCTTGCTGGGTGACCTTTTTGTTCGGGTATAATACATACCGCGCCCTGATGGTCTCCCTAATCGGTCCAGCCACATACATGCAGTGGGATCCACCAGAGCAAGCCTATTGCACTTCACAGCATGCAGAATCCAAAGGTAGTGTCACAGCGTGGGGGGTCCAGAGTCTGTGTCCCAGTAGGGCAGAACTGTTTTGGTGGCATAAGGGGAAAGGGCTTCATACACTATGTGCTCATAAAGGATTTGTTCCTGTAGCCAAAAATATCTGATGGTAATTTCAAGAGTCAAGATTAGCTGTATTTCTCACATACATAATTATACAAGTAAAATCTGCAGTGAAATGCTTATGCACCAATTCTAAGGAGCTTGGAAAGAAAAGCGTCTGGACTTCTTTAAGTTTCCTTGAAGACGTTTCACCTCTCATCCCCTCTACCTAATCCCACAAGCCAAGGTGTAGGTCACAGTCAGCCGAGGTTTCGGGTGAACCCACTGTGAAGCCCAGCTTCACCCTATCATGTGATTTCCTGAGGTCAGATTGCCCAGGATGTGAGTGGGCGTTAAGGCATCTGGGAAGGGATCTCAAAACTGGATTATAGATGGCAGACAGTTGGTGTTGTAAGCCACCACCTCTGTTCAAAGATGGTTGTTCACAGTGGACATAGATGTCTTCTTTCACTCCTCTTTCAAACCATCTGTTTTCTCTGTCCAAAATGTGAACATTAGCATCCTCGGAAGAGTGACCTTTGTCCTTTAGATGCAGATGGACAGCCGAGTCTTGTCCCGTCAAGGTGGCTCTTCTATGTTGTGCCATATGTTTATGAAGTGCCTGTACAGCCACTTCATAAACATATGGCAGCTTGCGGACAGCTTGGGGACACTCCCATAAGACTTAAAATCCGGGATTCTCCACCAGTTGCTCTTAGAACTGAAGAAGCTTCTCAGATGAGAGGTGAAACATCTTTAGACTAGGATGACCTGGATGACTGAGAAGCTTCACAGACACTTATGTACCAATCTGACTGAGAATAAATAAGAGGAAGACATAGCTTTTTTAAATGGATTAGCCAACTGGTAGCACAACCATAGTCCAAGTATGAGTATCAGAGTAGTCAGGGTGTAGGCTTATTAGGTCATGGTTTGACTCTGCATTTAACTGCTGAAACAGAAATCTTCAGTTATTTCCTGTTGATGTTCAACATTTACTGAAGTTGATGAAGATGTTAATTATAATCTTATCCATCCTAAAAGCAAATATGATGTGTTACCCACAGTGTAAGGTAAGTGTAAGGTTTCTTTTTGGGGCCGGGGTTCTTTTTTCTTTTTTTTTTTCCCCCTGAGCAGTTATAAGTAGCAGTAAGTGTGAAAATACAGTGTCTATTCTTGTGATCAGTCATTTTCTATTTCTATCAAAGGAAATTGCATGTTTCAGGAAACAGACTGAGCGAGTTCTCTGTTGAAATCAGATCATCATGCTGTAGAATGACAACAAAACAGACAGCCATGGAAGTGGACACTGCTTTTCTCAAATCCAGGAGGGGGATTGTGAAGGTGACAGAGATGGTGAGATATCTGCTTATAGCCTAACTTTGGACATTTGGCGTAATGTGGTGTAAAACAGCTGATACATGCCGTTTCGCTGCCTTGTGCCTGTTAAAAAGGGGGAACAGAAACAGAACATGGCGCAATAGCTTCACAATGCTATATGCTTTAGCTGGTAAATGTTAGTATGTGATTTAAAGGCTGTTGCTGAAGTGGATCATGACCTGTTTAATCTTTTTAAATGTCATGAGGAAAGCTTCTCAAAATGACACTTCCTGTTTTTCTCTCTAAACTGAGAGGTGCAACACGTTGCAAAAAAATAATAATTGTGAAGCAACCAGTGGACGAGAAGGAAGGAGACCTCACAGTACACAATGCAGTTTTAAAATAAGCTGTTATCAAACATCACAGTGTTTTTTTCTTGGCTCTGTTATCTCAGTGACAGTTTCTCTTTGCAATCTCCCCCTCTCTGCTGTAGGTGACTCTGTTTGTGGCTTTTGTGTGTTTCGCTGTAGCCTCGACACCCAAGTACATCGCAGCCACAGCGTTGGAGTTTTTCATCACCTCGCTTCTGCTGGTGCTCTACCTGCTCAAACTCAACAAGAGGCTGACCTTCTTCTTTTGGCCTCTAGTTGTAAGTGATGTGTTACAGCTTTGGACATAGTGAGAGAGAGTGAAAAAAAAGTGTGACTGCCTGTTGCATGTTCAAGCTCTTGTTCTTTTCTTTTTGTTCTCCTTCTTCAGGATGTATTGAATTCAGTCTTTGCAAGCGTTTACTTCATCACCTTGAGCTTGATGGCTATGACTTCTTACATTAACACAGGCATGCTGATTGGAGGGGTGAGATGTATTTAAGTGTATATACAGTATGCTCAGTAACATTAAACCGTCATGCATTGGCATAGATTCACTTCTGGAGCACTACTCTAAGTTTAAACAAGCCTTTACCCCTGAATGACTTGTTTTCTTGTTTCTCAAAGAGAGGCGAGTCCTTAAAGTTTGACTGTGTAAAAAACGTAAAAACACTCCCAATATGAGTAGCCTACATGCACACGAACACACACATGTGGAATGCAATGGATGTATGCTGAGATGTATCCTCTTTTTGCAGATCATGTGTTTCCTCTTAGCTGTGCTGCTGTGCGCTGAGAGCTACATTCTGTTCAGTATCATCACATTCAACAGGCCGAGGACTGAAACGCAGAATACATAAAACAGACGAACTGCAGCAAACTAACGACAACGTGTGCGCATGAATGACCCCAACCCGCTAACTGCTCTTGCATTCTGTGCGTAGTTTAAAGGTTTAGCTGTAGAAGTGTTTGTTAGTTTATCCACAGGCATATTTGATTCTGTAACTAAGCATGGTGTGGCTGTTTAAGATTTCTAAATTGTAAAGGGAAAGAGAAAAAAAATATCAATAAAGATTTTTTTTCTTTGTGACATCATGAGTTGTATATTTCCGCCGTTGTGTGCAGCTGGGGCATCGCATTTCACATCTGGAGAAAGCAGATGTTGCGCTTCTTTTTTTCTGGCGCTCGCGCTGCATTTCCGAGCTTGTCATTGTTTCCGCTTCCACCTCAGAGAAGCCTCACGCCTCCTCATATCTCATTTGAGTGTGTGTGTGTGTGTGTGTGTGTGTGTTTATTTTGCACTAAAATCGCTGCAGTACTTGTAGTTTGAGCAGCCCGGAGCTGGAGGAGAGTTTTTCTTTTCATAACAATGGGGGACATCGAGGCTCCCAGCTCGAACCGGCCGCCCCAGGCTGTCCTGAAGTCTATTCTTCCCAGCAAAGAGTTCGTCACATCCAGGAAAGGAATGCTGCTTATTGCTGAAGTGGTAAGAAATGACCCGATGAGCCAGGCCAGCAAATCTGAGCGCCAGTGGACCGTTGTTTCACCAAAGGCGCAGAGTTGTGGGTAGTTTCTGGCAGTTTTTGCAGACACTGCACTGTGTTGATTTCAGCGCACATTCAGAAATAACTTTAAAAGCTTGGTTAACTGTCATTTTAGGTTCACTCGGTTTCCGTTAGGTCTCCTTTAGAAACGGGAAGAACAGTAAGTTTAAAGCAGCCGTGAGACAAGCTTAGGAAACTCTGACTAACTGTATACTGGATCGTACTGGTTTGGATGGACACGCGGTGAAAAGCCTGAGGTAACCACTGTTGTCCACGCTGTCAGTGATCCAAGTAAACCACGGTGTAATTCCAGGCTCTCTTTTGTGCACTGCACAATTCATTTCAAGTTCAAATATCCACGTGTATTGAGAAGAACTTGGGTTTTTATTGTCGATTTCAACAAACCAAATACTGAAAAGCTGTCTGCGCCATGGTGTTAGTGTGAGATTACCAGCATCGCGAGTTATTTGTGGGAAGGGTCTTCTCGCTGCAAACCCTCAAACTGTGTCATGTGACATTCGGCTCATGCTGGGCTGTGAGTGAGCTGTTATCTTCCCCGCAGTCACATCCTTTTCTGTATGTCGCCTGGAGCACAGCTCTACACTCCCACACAAAGCGCAGTCTCTTTACTGCTGCTTCACAGCGTGGAATGGCCTGTAACCCACGTTAAACAAGACCCAGATAGTAGTGTGCAAAAGTCTTTAGCCAACCCTAATATCTTTATATTTCCTATATTCTTGAAGGAGCCAGAATTTGTTGTGACCAGTAGTGCCAGGCTTGTTAAAGGTCTTTTAAAGTTTTTCTTTGAACAGCCCCTTTAGTTGAACATTTTCAGATAATTTATTTTACTTAAGCCACATAATACTCAGCCAAGAATCAGTTGTATCTTTAGCCTCTTTGTTATTAGCAGCCTGTCGCAAAAATACATTTGTTTCGATTTCTGTGGTCGAATCTTTAATAATGCCAACGATAAGACAGCTTGATAGAGATAAAATTATATTTTTGCACAAACAAGGTGATTCTCACAGAACTATTGGCTGAAAGCTTGGCATATCTCAGCATGATGTGCAGTGTGTCCTTAAAAAAAATCTCAGAAAACTGGACAAGTGGTGGACAAATGAAAAGAGTGAGGTATGCCAAATCATGCAAGAGGTGGACTGAAAATCAGTGGCAACAGGTCTGATGTAGTGTTAATACCAAACTTGATATTTTTGGTTGTTTAAATGGAAGTGGGGAGGAGAGAGGTACAACAGTGAGTGTCTGTGAAACAAAGTGGAGGCTCTGTCATGGTTTGGGGCTGATGTTGGAGAACCTGACCAAATTGGTGGAATTATGAAGAGAGAAAAGTACCATTAGATTTTGATCCACCATCTGCAAAGCATGTGACTGGCGACACCTTCATTGTTCAGCATGACGATCACCCCAAAACACACTGCCAGTGCAGTAAAATCATACCTGGATAGAAAAACAGACAATGAGACACTATCAGTCCTGGATTGGCCTCGCAGAGCCTTGATCTCGACATTTTTGAAGCCGTGTGGGATCATCTTGACAGAGAACAGAAAAAAAGCCAGCCAACATCCAAAGACTTAAAGAAATGACAAGAAAGCTTGCCTAAGAGAGTTCAGCCTGTTCTTAGAGTAAAGGTGGCCATATCAAATATTAACCTTCAGGCTTGTTCGAACTGCACAAACTGTTTTTGCCTTACATACTGTATTTCCATCTAAATCACATTTTCCTAGCAAAATATAAAGAAATCAAGGGCAACACAAGACTTTTGTCAACAGTAGAAGTCAGAAGTGTGTCCTACTTGGACTGTAGGTGAGATACCACGCCTGGTTTAGGCTTATTTTAGGAGATTTGTGATATACTATGCAGCACTTCTGTTCAGTGAGTCCATTCCTAAACTTTTCACAAGTGAAGCATGTCAGTGCATCTCGCTGTATGTGAGTGGTATGCTTTGCAGGATTTTCAAGATTTTGAAATCTGTTTCTTATACTTTCCAACTCTTTGCTTATTTGATTTTTGAAGCAACTGTTTAAATGCCAAACAGTTAAAAATGTTTTCTCCTTCACCTCAGCACCACAAACAATAATCCACCGGTGTAAAAATGAGGGCCAAGTCTGAATGAAGGGTGGCCTTTTCAAATGTTACGTTTTTATCTCAGTGGTAAAGGTATGATACGAGGTATGAAGCTAAATTCATTTGCTTTAAGTTGCTGTGTAAGCTAAACGTCCTTGCAGTAGTTGGGAAACCTTTGAATGAACTCGCACATCTGTGTGCGATTGTCTTTCTGATTAAAAAGATTTCAAATAATACGACACAAGTCCACAGTCGCTGAACTCAAATGTTGCACACGAGGCTTCTAAAGAAAATAGATCATACCATAATACCACTGTTGCGCTGCTTGGACATATCAGGCAGGCTCATATATGCATCTGCTGAGCATGCAATACCGTACATAGTGTGTCAGACCACTGTGTCTTTCTGTGTAACCACAGGGTCTACATTTAATGTGCAGTAAAAGACAGGACTGTGTAGTGTTTGACATGTTTCCAAAATGCAAACAAGCTGTTAATAAGAGGCACATGTTGAGGCAAAGCGTGCCACCTTAAAGTGAGGTGATAGACTAAACTAACAATCTAAAGATTGTGAGGCTTCTCAGCTCGGTATGTAATGCATGATGGATGTTTCTGAGAGGTTACAGATTCACACTCACAGGAAATAAATGTCTTCCATAAATATCTCATGGCATATTTGAATAATTCTTCTTGGATGTTGTCAGTGTTTAGAATGAAACTGGCCAGTATAGGTTGGAAAAGATTTGTTAATTGATAATCTATTAATCAGTCTTTTTCCCAGTGATTCTTTTTAATTTAACTGTAACGTTTCTTTTTAATTAGTTTTACATAATTATAATCGAAACAATAATTTTTTTCTTTTTTACTGACACGAGTCCAGCCACACTGTAACAGAATATATTCAAAACTTTACTGTTAAGTGTTGCCTTACAGGAAAGTTTTACATCGCTCTGTAGCAGCATTTTTATAGCTGCAGGAGTTTGGGTTTAGTCAGACAGAGTTCCTACGATCAGGCTAGTGTGGGATAACTGACTGAGACAAAGACAAGATGGCCGTGGCTGTTTGAGATTACAGCGTCTGGGCTCGCCTTCATTTGTGCTGATGTGGTGTGTCCAGCTCTTCCAGTGGGGAGCTTCAAAGACAAGGCGGGCTCGGCCGTCTCGTCTTTGTGATTAATAAAAACCAATAAAACATTTTCCTTTATTTTAGCTGCGTTTGTTTTGTGGATGTTTGCACAAGCATACATGTGGGAGGCATACAGAGAAGGGTGACGGAGTAAAAGCCTGTGTGAATAGCTTTTAACAGCTGTATCTCCTTACAGGAAGTGGGCCTGAAGCTGTAATTCACACAGACTAACAGCTTCGGGGCACTGCTACAGTTCATTATTTAGATCTGACTTGGAGAATCCTACTTGGAAATAACTCCACACCATCTGGCGTCTTAAACTTTTTATTTCAAATGCCAAAGAGTTGTCTTATTTTCTATTTCTCCTTGTTTTGTCTTGCTCTTTTTAGGGTCTGTCCTTTATATCATTCGTGTGCTTCGCTGGATCCTCGGCAGCAGCATTTGTGACCGTCCCCCTGCTGGCATTCCTGGCTTCTCTCTTCTTGCTGTTTGGTTACTCCACCAAATTCAACGAGAGGTTTAAAGGTTTCTGCTGGCCTCTAACGGTGAGAGCAGCTGTTTCAGAAAGAACCTTGAAACTTTGCCCCGCATGATCTTGCGGCGCTAAATGAAGAAATTAGTCGTGTAGTGTTTGATTGTGTCTCTGAATCAGCTCCGGTGTTTTTCTCTCAAAGGATTTCATTAGATGCGTGACTGCCTCCATTATCTTTTTCATCATCTCAATAATGGCAGTGTCCAGATACTCAGACGGTTCCTCAAAGGCTGCTGGGGTAACGCTGTCATCATCATCAGCATAGTCCATAACTGAATACATTTGGCATTGTATTCACATTGTATTTGCCTCTTTTTGCAGATATTTGGGTTCATCGCCACCATTGTTTTTGCCGTAGATTTTTATTTCATTTTTAATGAGCTGGCCAGTTTCTTGAAACAAGGAGGGGAGTCCAACGAGGAACCGTCAAGACAGCAAGGTAACAAAGTCACCTCATGTACATATAAGTACATGTTTAATGTAGTTTCATAATAGGAGAGAAATAGGTAAAAATAAAATGAGTTTTTATGCAGGCTCTGAGTACAGGTCCATTCACTGGTCACTTTATTAGTTACACCTTGGTAGTTGTGTTTTGGACCCTCTTCTTTCTTCTTTGTGGCAAATGCTTGAAGCATCCATCAGATGATGGACACTGTAGTTATAAAGGGATGGAAATGATCAGCAATAATACTTGATAATATTTGTAATTCCAAGCAGAGTTATTATAGTTCCATTTTCTAGTTAGTCTTTATTTCATTTCATTTTGACTTTTTGCTTGTAATTCAGTCTCAATCCAGTTACTTTCCAGAGTTGAACTTCTTGTTTCAGTTTAGCTTTTATTGTTATGAAATAATGAAAACACTTAACGGTTTGAAAGCAGTTGACTCACAGTCTTGTAGACAACCTGAATCTCAGTGAACATATCCATCATCGCCTCATCAGCCAAGTCGTTATAAAGTTTTTAACTAAACTAAACTAAACTAAACTAAGCTAAAACAAAAACTTTTATTTTTCATTTTTTCACATCTAGTTTTAGTTTTTAGTTTAGTTTTAGTAAACTATAATGAACTTGCTGCTAATTGTGCCAAGAAAATATCTCCCTCATCATTACAGATCCAGCACCAGCCTAAATCGTTGATTCCAGGCTTTCATGTTGTGTAGAGACTTATCAGACCAGCCAGCATTTCTCTAATCTTATATTGTACAATTTTGGTGGTCTGGTGTCAACTGTAGCATCAGTTTCCAGTTCTTAGCTGACAGGAGTGATACCCAGTGTGGTCGCCTGACCTTTGGCATCAACAAGGCATTTTCAGCCAAAGGATATTTTCTCTTTTTTTGAACAATTTTCTGTGAAACCTAGGGATGATCTAGATAAATACCAGCAACCATAGCACATTCAGAGTCACTTAAATCAACTTCCACCTCACTGTGAAGGTTAGCAGGTCACCTTGACAGCAGGCTGCCCCCATGTGATTGAACAGGTGTACCTAATAAAGTGGCCAGTAAGAGTATGTGCCTTGGAGTGATTATTATTGTGAATTGCCACTAAATAAATAAAACTGAATTGAATTGAATGACACACCTGGACCTGTAAACTGTTCAGGTAAACATGTTTTTAATTGCATGCTTTCAGTGCCATAACTGAAGTATTTTGTTTCCACACTGAGGTGGCAGCACACATTCAGAGATGGATCATTTATAAACTTCACTTTGATGTCTGATCCCACTGTGCAAAGCATTTTGTGCAAAGCATGAACCAACCCTTTCAACAAAAAAGTTTCATTTCATTCCTTGAAGCGTGCACTCTGTTAATGAAAACAAAACTGGCACCCTTAGACAGTTCTCTATGTTCAAAAGATAAAAAATGCCTTTCTCCAAGTGCACCACGTTTTGTGCGCTTGTTATTTTCTTCCTTATTGATGTAGCTCGTCCACAGAAAGTGCACCCAGAGAAGTGATACTCCGTCTGACGCAGGGTTTTCTTCTCTTTTTTTGTTTTGTAGATGAATTTTCAGACTCTGACTCAGACTGAAACTGTGGGGATCTTTGGCAGAAGATGTGTGATCATGCAGTCTCAACCTTTGTAGTAAAAATCAACACTGCCGAGCAGATATTTGCAAACACCTGCCTGGTTTTTGTGCAACAGAGTTACAGAAGGACACTGTGTATCAAGGTCAGACTCATTGTTGGTCAGTTTCAAGTCGCCGAACACGAACAAAGAAGGTTTTAGTGCAATTCACACATTAGAAAAAATACTTTTTAAACTGATGCATCAAACACGCCAGCCTTCTGTTTTATTGGTTGTTACACAAAGTTTATAAAACATGTTCTTTTCTTTTTTCATGTTCAAGTTTACTTCCAGTGTCTTAGATCATTTGCCACAAATGTAAGAGCTACTATCACTCCAACACTTTCCTGAAGCTGTGAAACTGTTTCTGCTCATGTTATGGAGAAGCAGTTATTAACATCAAAATGTGCATGCATTATGTCGAAATCAGGGGAAAATGCTCTAGCCCTGTTTACATGTTTGCACACTAGAACACTGCAAAATGCCTTATTGAATAAATGTTTACCAATGTACTAATAATGTAATGATGCTGTAACAGGAATTCAGACCAGGAGGCCTGCTTAATTATCCTTTATTAAATTGACAGCATGTTTATAACCCTGTTTCCTATAAAGTTTGCACACTGTGTAAAATGCAAAGATATACAAATCATTTAAACCCTATATTTAATTTTAAGCATCAGATGCTGCTTTCAGAATTCTTCTTATTTACTTGAAAGCAGTAGGCTCATTTAGAGACTGATTACAGCAAAGCTTTTCCTAAAAAAACTGTAAAGGGGGCGTGTTTACAATTCGGCTGCGTTGCATCTGCTCTGTAGTCTGTTAAAAGGGACCTAAGGAGTCAACTTGCTATGCTTTTGGAGATAAATTGCTTTCCCTTTGTTACTTTCAGAAGCTTAACAACTCCTTTGTTGTATTTTTGTTTTCTAGTGCTCCAAATGTTTTTAATAGATGTCAGATCTGGTTTACAAGCGGGCCAGTTCACCAACCAAAGTCTTTTAATAATGGATTGCATTTATATAGCGCTTTTCAAGGCACCCAAAGCGCTTTACAATTCCACTATTCATTCACTCTCACACTGGTGGAGGCAGCTACAGTTGTAGACTGACAGAGGCCCGGGGAATGAACCGGCGACCTTCCGGTTACAGATGTGCTTCCCAACCCCCTGAGCCATTAGGTTGCCCCTAATTTAATATGTATGTACAGAATGTGTTTTGGCCTAGTCTCGCTTAGTAATGCACGGCAATACCTGACACAGCTGGATGTAAGAATGTGTTACTCCAAAACCTGATTTATCGTTCAGCATAAATGATGCCTTCACAGATGTGCAACTATAACACTAGGGGAGCCCATAGGCCTGCCCCAGGCTCCCTTTTGACTTTATTTTTCCGATTGACTTGAGTCTATATTAAATGAACTATGCTTATAGAATGCAGAAACATTTTTTGCCGCTTGTTTGAATGTTTTTTTCTTGCTTTGTGTGCTAAATTTTTGATTATTAGTGTCTACCCAAAGCCCATGCATCGATTTCCATTATAGAACTAAGGATCACAAACATTCGGTACTGGTTTCCAGCCTTGTCCAGATTTCTCTGGATCAGGTGAACCCCTTCCTAACTTTACTTCTGAAAGACTCAGTTTCTCTGGGATGCTCTTTTCATATATCATGTTACTAATTAACCTAATGTGTTGAGCACCAAATTTCTTTCTGGATTGCACAAATTTACAACATTTTGCCGTCTATTGTTGCCCCTGTAATGACAGCTTTGTAACATTTTACTGGCATCAAACTCAAAATGAGCTCATGTAAAAAAAACAAAAGTTGTTTTTAAATTAAAAATCTAAATTAAATAAAGCTAATTTTGGCTCATGCCTTATTTAAGAGTGGTTGCCAGAGCACGTAGCAACGCATGCTTGATTTGGTAGGTCTTTTTGTTTTTTTCTTGTTGTAACCCCAAAAGGTTTGTGTCTGCTCCTTTTCAGAGTTTGAATGAGCTACAATCAGTTTCATTCTAATTTGATTCACATTTTTCACAGTGTTTTGACATTTTAGGAAACAAAGTTATAAAAAATTTTGTAGCCTATATTACAAGAAGAGAATGGTTGGCTGGTTACAACCTCTGTCCAACTGTGGTAGATTTATAAAAGCCTATTTTACAATCTGAGGATAACCTTTGTTTATCTTATGTTTATTTCCTCATATGAGTTTCTGTGATGTGCTTGAAGACATTAGAAATCATGCTACTTTGACACACTTACTAAGGTAACACACTTTGTCGACTTCCTGCTCTTTTGTTGTTTGTGTGCTATTTCTTCATATGTGCATATGTGTGTGCAGTTTATTAAAACCATTTAATGCAGTATTACTTTGAGAAATTCTAAATATCTGCTATATAAATCATTATATGTGTTTTTTTTATTTGCATGTGTGATGTATGATTTCTCTCCATCCACTGCCACTACTGACAAATTAGATGCACTAGAACGCCACAGTGACTGTTAATGAAATCTACGGCGGACTACACGAGTGCTACAACAGCACTGAATTAAAAACAAATGACTGGGAATTGGCCACCATGGCATTTCCCGCATTTTTCAGTGCGGTAAATTTTATGGATCTGTTACAGCTGTAGCTTCATGTTTTAAAGTTGAGTGGAAATAAATGAACAAAATGAGAAAAAGACCTTGCAGGTCTATGCAAAATAAGAGCTAAGGTTTCCATGAACCCGCCTGCAATGATGTTATAGATCGTTTATGCCCTGTGAAAAGCAAGAATGTCAAACTCATTTTATATTGTGGGCCACATAGAGTTCACTTTGATCTTATGTGGGTTGGATCGGTGAAATTCCAGTTTCTCTGTGTAAAAAGTGTAACTGTGGATTCACTCATTGAAATATCAACGCAAACATAAGCAATTTAAAAATTATGTCTCAGTTTTTCTACATGGTAAAGAAATGCTGTTGTATTAAATAAAATAAGTCGTTCAGCACGACTCTTCAAGCTTAGATTGTAAGAAATAATGTGTAAAATTACAGAAATCTGTAATTTAATTACTTTGGTGTAATGTGACTGGCCATGGGCAGGAAAAACTGTAAACTGTGTTCTTCACATTTTCCAAAGTCATCCAGCGGGCCTGATTGGGGTCTTTGCTGGGTAAATTCCGGCCACCAGACCTTATGTTTGACACCCTTGTCCTCAACCTTAACCTTAAACAGGCTTAAAAAGGTAACACGGGTACAGACATTGTGAAAGTGCACATTTTAAACATTCCCAAATGGTTTTAAATGATTTATTCTTTCCAAGAAGTAGGAGAACCTTCAGTTTATTTGAAACATTCGAACAACATCCCCACACAGTACCATTTTATAAACGGGCACCTTTGTAAAACCAGTGTAGATGTATGTTGCCTGCTTGTTTAGTTTTTGTTTGGTTTTGGATTTTCTTTTTGCAAAAAAAAGTTTGAATAAAAACCTGTCTTCATTTCAATAATGTCATTATAAACCAGTGTGAAGTCTCCACACTTCTTCGGGATCGGATCATTGTTTGCCGTTTATGTCACGACCTGCAAACCAGCAGAAAGCCTTTTCTTTCTCATAAATACAAATTTCGTAACATATTGCAGCACAGTCGTACACAGAGAGAGCTGCAGCTTGATAAGCGTTTGACAAATATGGTCGGTTTATATGACCAAATAGCATAATGCAATAGCGTGATTTTGTTGCTGTACAAATTCTTAAGTGAACATGGTAATAGTATTACTCAAAAACAAATCCATCAAAGTAAGTTACACACACATAAATACGAACAAGATTGTCTTCTCATACGTCTATGTCAATCACCAAACCAAGAGAAACAGCATTAAAACATAAGTTATTTAAAATCTAAGAAATGCCTGGTTAATCAAGCATCTTCAGGGCATTTATTAGTCTTAATTTAAAAAAAAAAATCCACAGTCAAATACATTTCTGGTCCTTCACTTATAAACACACTAATGTAAAATCATCTGACTATACACCCGATCCACTGACGCAACAAAAAGATACATTTCATATAAAGACCAGAAGAGGGGGCCATAGTCAACTTGCCCGAATAAGGTTCAGGTCTTAACTGTAGTGTACATTAAAAGAAGATCAGATGCTAAATAAGTAGACAAAGGTTTAACTTCCTGTTTACTTCAGGTGCACTGACCAACTGAAAAATATTAAAGAGAAATCAGTATTGGATGGATGGGCTTTGCAGAGGCTGCTATAAGGGTAATGAAGGATAGGGATATCATAATACATGAAATGTGGGATAATATCATTGTAGATACATATACAAACATTTCAATCAACCACAGATTTGCTAAATGTACCATGTTTCCACCCCACAGACTCATCAAGTCTAATATTTAGAAAGGCATTAGGAAACACAGTGTTTAGGTCGAGGCACCCTGTGATTTTTTTTTGTAATATAGGAGGGTCAGTACCTGAGAAGCAGTGTATAGGCTAATGACATTGGTCTCAACCACGCCATCTACTGATGTTTGCTTTAAAATTAATCTCACTGATGTACTTTTAAGATTTGTGTTACCTGAAGTGTTGGACGTGTGCAAAATTAAGATACGGATTACCTTATCATTGCTTGATATAACCTCCTCCAGGCTCACAGTGTAGGCCTAACACACATCTATAAGTAAAACTTTTTAAGCTCTGCTAAAAATTATGTCCCTGTTATTGTGTCAAACCAACTGGACTGGACTGGTTATTTTTTCCCCATTTTAAGTGTTGTGGACTAATGTAGTGCATGTAATCTGCACTTACTCCATAAATGCTGACAGCAAATGCAGTATGGCAATAGTGGCTAAAAGTCATGTGTAAAAGTAAGATGTGTAAGATTAGCCAAGACAAGGACAAGGAGACTTTCATGAGCGCATGTATAATTAAAAAATTAAATGTCAGGCTTGCTCAAAGGTAGAGGGTAAAAACTGTGAGAAAGAACAATGAAGTCATGGTTGGACTGCAGGTTAGGGTTTGTTGCTGGTCCGCTGGTTTCCTCATTTCATGATCACATTTATTACCACAGACTTCAGCGGCATGACATAAGCAGACTGTACAAAAGCTGACCTTGTTTTACTGGACTTCATTCACAGTGAAAGACAAAGCGTGCTCAAAAGTCAACACATATACTGGAGCCAGAGTAGGTGCACAGCTGGGGAGAAGTCAGGCTTTCTTTTTGTAGCCTTTCAGGGGAAGTTGTCCTTCAAAATGCTTTAGAAAAACATGTAGATGAAGGGTTTTACAAAGCACACCGTCAAATGTGACCAGGGTTTTCTACTTAAGTGTTTATGTGTCAGCAGGAGCAGCCAGGACGGCTGCTGAACAAAGCCACGGAGCCTCATTCACAGCTGAAGTGTTGTGATGAGAAGTCAAAAGCGTGCGGTGAGCCGAAGGTGGCTGTCTCACTGGAGTGGAAATACTGTTCTGAAGGCAGAGCTGTTTCCATTAGAGTCAGCTGCTGGTAGCATGGCTTTCTCTTAGTCTTCCTGATTGTCTGCCAGCACTCATGCAAGCTCAGGTCGTGGCTCCACCTCGCCACGCGATGCCGTGCGTGCCCGAATGTAATCGCTGGCCTGAGCCACCCCCTGACACCCAGCGCCACGGCGCCACTTCCGCACTGCCAGAAGGGTGTTTATTCCGTACACGACAGTCACCAGGAAGCCAAAAATCTGCACACAGGTGGAAACGGGAAGCAGAACCATTTACGTGTCAACAAATGTCAAAGCTACGTGATTACAGCTCAATAAGCTGATGAGGTTGTCTGATATATCAAAACTTCTACAAGTGCATAAATTAGTGTAATTAAACACATATACAGAACTGTGCAGTGGTAGGAAATTTAGCAGCCTGGTCAGTAAGAAGCAAAATCTATGGACATCATCAGTCAGTGATGCTGCAGTAAAGTAAGGCACAAAAATAGCATCCATATCTACAAACGTTTATGCTTCCTTTGTTATAGATCTAGGCAGGATGCCACTCGATGAAGTTCAAAGAGTCAGTACTCACCACTGCTGCTATTTCAGCTCCAGTGTTGTGATTGATGCAAGCGAGCACGAGAGATGACAAGAAGAAAAACAGGGTGCTGGCACCTGTGTTAACGAGGTCCTACAGGAAGGCAAAAACAAAGATCACAGCTCTGAATTAGAGATGTTATATAAGACTGGGATCACCTGTGATTTAAATCAACAACAATGAAATGTTGAACACAGGATGTTTTCAGTACCTGGCAGTTTTGGGCAACACTAAAATAACATATGAAGTAAATGTATATTTTGATAAAGTACATTTTAACATGGTATGTTCCCCATTGTTTGAATTTATTTGGATGCATTCACGTGTGGTCTACGGCTGCACAGGTCCTCTTTGGTTTTCTCTGTTACGAACTTTGAATTCTTGTTGTTTTTTAGCGTTCTGTTGGTTCTCAGATTATTCATTGCATTTTATTTTTGAGTACTAGTTCCTTGTTTCAGTTTATAAGTATTTTCATGAGTATTCTGCATTAGTCTAAGGAGCTTGGAAAGAAAAGCGTCGGGACTTCTTTAAGTTTCCTTGAAGACGTTTCACCTCTCATCCGAGAAGCTTCTTCAGTTCTAAGAGCAACTGGTGGAGAGTCCCAGATATTAAGTCCCCAAGAGGGACAATGGACCCCCTGATGATCCTCTACCTAATCACATGAGCCAAGGTGTGAAAACGGGTGTAGGGCACAATCAGCCAGGGTTTCGGGTGAACCCATTGTGAAGCCTAGCTCCACCCTATCATGTGATTTCCTGAGGTCAGATGGCCCAGGATGTAAGTGGGCGTTAAGGCATCTGGGAAGGGATCTCAAAACTGGATTATAGATGACAGACAGTTGGTGTCATAAACAACTGCCTCTGTTCAAAGATGGTCGTTCACAGTGGACATAGATGTCTTCTTTCACTCCTCTTTCAAACCATCTGCCTTCTCTGTCCAAAATGTGAACATTAGTATCCTCAAAAGAGTGACCTTTGTCCTTTAGATGCAGATGGACCGCCGAGTCTTGTCCCTTCAAGGTGGCTCTTCTATGTTGTGCCATGCGTTTATGAAGTGGCTGTTTGGTCTCTCCAATGTAGAAGTCTGAGCATTTCTCGCTACACTGTACAGCATACACTAAGTTGTTAAGTTTGTGTTTAGGTATTTCTATCTTTGAGATGAACCAGGTTTTGTCTGAGTGTGTGGCTGGGCCTAAAGTACACTGGGATGTCATGCTTGGAGAACTCGCCCGAGTTTCAAGCTCCTTAGACTACGATGACCTGGATGACTGAGAACCTTCACAGACATATTTTGCATTAGCTTTTTGTTCTCTTAATCCTTCCCTTGTGGCCCTTTATGTCAAGTCGGTCATCTCTGTGTAGTTACTTCCCGTTTTTTTTTGGTAGTCTTTTGTAACCTGTGCTTTTACATTGAGTTCTACTTCCCTTGTCTCATCATCCTGATTTGTTCCTCCTGTGTTTCCCATCTATTTTCCCCTCACTGACAGATGACAGGCTCAGTTCTACAAATTTGACACAGAGGGGCACAAGGGCAAGACTAATAAAAGAATAGACTATACAAAATAAACCTAAAACAGAATAATCATGAAAATAACCAGAAACTAAAAGAAAAGAATTAGGACTCAAGATATTTAGAGACATGGAAAACAAGAATAAACAACAATGAACAACCTGCGAACCAACAGAACATTAAATAATAACAAGAATTCAAAGTTCGTGACAGAAAACCATTGATCCAAAACTCCCTTGTTTTTCCAAGAGTAGTTGATGATTCATTTGGAGTTATTCTTTGGTGCTCCTTGTCTTCTTGTCTGTTTTTTAACCTCCTGTTGGGAAGAATTGTATGGTCGTGGTAAAAAGAAAGTACACCCCCTATCAGTTCTAAGGTTTTACATATCAGGACATATTTCTTTCTTTCCATGTCTTGAATACAACCTGAGCTGAATGACAGCACATGACACACTACATCATCATGTCATTACTTATTTAGCAGAAACCAAGCCAAAATGGGAAAGCGGTGCAAGCAACTCGCCATGATTCAGTAGCTTGTAGAACCAGTTTTAGCAGCAATAACTTGAAGTAATCATTTTCTGCATGACTTCATCAGTCTCTCACATCATTGTGGAAGAATTCTGGCCTGCTCTCCTTTGCCTCATTTCATTGAGGTTTGTGGGCATTTGTTTATGTGACGGCTCTCTTATGGTCCAGCCACAGCATTTGAGTCTTGACCTTTTTTTTGCAATTTCTCTGAGAATGGCACAGTCTGACTTTGGGATGAATTTGCCTGGATGTCCACTTCTGGGAAGACCATCGGCTGTCTTACCTGTTACCACTTGTGAATAATCTTTGTCATTGTGAATGATGGACTTTAAATTTGTTGGATTATTTGGCCTTTCCAGATTGCTGGGCAGCTTCTCTGAGATCATTGCTGATCTCTTTCCCCCTGAACGCTCCAGGCCAGCAAACTGCCAAAACCACTGCTTTTATAGAGCCTCTTAATCCCCATGGAAAGGGTGTGCCTAGTTTTGTTTTGTTTTGTTTTAGTTTGTTTACATGCTGCTTCTTCATTTGGCTCAGTTTTTTTTGTTTAATAAATAATGACTCAGTGTAATCTTGATAGATAAAACCTTAGAATTAAAATCTAAGGTGTTCTTTCTTTCACCATAATTGTACCTGCTATTTATTTCTACACAACATCATTAGGATACTTGTTATTTTGGCTATTTCTAGACTTGGTAATAAGAAGGCAGAATTCCTGAACTTCCCTCTTGACATCCTTCCTCTTAGACCAACCTTGGGTTATAATAACAAATAAAAAATATCCACTCCTGGTGTTTTAACATAAAACTTCAATTTAATCTACTTAAAGCACTCACGGCAACAAATATCCTACAGCTGCCTCTTGCTTTTACATTTAAATAACTTTTAAAACAACAAAAATACATTTTAAATCACAGCACAACATGTTTGTTACCCCAAAGCACACCACTGAAATAACAAACTAATGTAATGTGAGCTCAAGATAAAACTGAGCTGTCTGAAAGCTGCTGCCAGTGATGTGCATTAGTTAAACCCCACAAGACTAATTAAAAAAAAACTGGCACAATGTAGCCTCCTATTAGTCTAAGGACTGAGCACATTGTGGCTGATGTTGTATACTGAACAAACAGAGCTTGTTTGCACTCTTCTAACCAGCCAGACTGCATCCTGGTGCTCCATATCCAAAAACCACAGGAGAGCAAAGAAGCCAACAGCACATATTTTTTTAAAAGCCACCTAGCACCTCATTCATTCAATTCAAACAAACACTCAGTCCACACATATAACTAACTCCATCCCCCACGTTTTTACACATAGGAAGTAATGTGAAAGAGACAGTTGCTTTTCAAGTACCGCTCTCCTGTTCTTGGCACGCCAAACTGTGGGGAGGGGGTTAATATTGAAGGGCTCAGCGTGGCTGGGGCACGGCCCTCGTGATCAGAGGCGTGATTATAATCATTGCAGACATGGTCTCTCATATGATACGCATGGACCATACAATAGCAAAGTCAAAAAGGCTAGCTGGTCGCAGACTTACACACATGTGCATGCACATACCTCAGCAGGGCATAAAAAGTGAGATAATGTGCCACTGATCTCATGGTTTAATCAGTAACATAAATACAGAACCATATCTCTACATGTTAACTGGGAAAGTCAATGAACACCACAGTTATGATCTTAACCTTCGACCGTAATCTTAAACCCACTTCAAAGGTGCACACTCAGCGTACTGCAAACACTGCTCGCATTACTCATGCACTCCCATCCAGCTTGTCAAACTGGTTAAACGAGACACAGCCAACCAGATATTCCTGTTCCATTGTGCTCTTTCATGTGCACAAACGATTTTGCGCGTTTTCATGATGCCACTTCAATCCCACAGTCAGTTCAGTTGTTTCTCAACCTCTCTGCTTTACCTTCGCCCAAAAGTCACAAATCACACATGTGATTATATTCTTTCCTGAATTTTCCCATATAGGTCCAATAGAAAAATGTGCATGTAAACAACTAGCATGGAATTTCACAGCCTATGAAAAATTTAAAGTCTCCATCTCGAAAGTTGCGCTCTATCTGACCAGCAATAATGGTAATTGCCTGAATGCAAACATTTTACCAGGAAAGGAAAAGAATAAAGTGGGATTCTAAGTGACTGTTGTCTCTACAGTGCTGTTTGGAAATGCTGTTTAACAGCTTACTGTAGTGGAACAACTCAGCATCCAGTTGTGGGCTTCCACCCTGAATTACTTACTTCATTCATGTATTAACTGTGATGAGATACTCTCTGTTCTCAGAACAAAACAACCAGAAAATACTGGCAGGGCAATCGAACGGCCGCTCTCCCTCCAACGAGAGAATAACAACGCTATTATCTGTCTCTCCCTTTGTGTCTTTAGTTTTGCCTCATTTCTGTCCCAGAATCCCCCTAGCATGACCCACAGCTATTTGGCTGTGAATGAAGAAAACAATGGACCGAATTATCTGCCTTCAAAAACTAAATCCTCGAGTTTAATTTAATCACCTAAAGTTACAGAGTAGCTAGGACTGCAAAAGAGTCCTAGGACTGCATTCATTTCCATTTGGAAGAAGGGGAATAGGGTCAAGGCCTGTGTTTCCCCCTCTGTGATGACTTTGGCAGCACAGAGGGGGAAGTGGAGGAGATGGGATCGTATAGCACGTAATTGTTAGATTAAGAACCCTTCTACTGAGAGTTTGTAGTTGGGAAACAGAAAAGTCAGCAGAAGGTTTAACAGTTGGTTAATACTGTGAAATGCTCACTCGTGGTAAAATTCCCAGGGGACCAATGTGACCGGAGCAGCTTTGACTACGATAGACATAAACAGTGTGTGGCTGAGCCCACACCGTGGAGTGCGTCCAAGGAACGTGGGCTCGTCAGCTAAGCAGTTTGGAGTGAGAGCAAACACTGTTAAATCTGCAAAGTAACACGTTCGGTAAACCTTTGTTTGCAACATTTTGCTAACCGAAAAAGTCCTTCATATTTGACAAATTCACCTTTATTCTTTTGCATAACAGCATAAAGTCCAGCAACACCAGTGTGCCAAACCACAGGCCATCAAACTCCAACCTCTTTGTGTGAACCCAATGCCAACTCCTGAGCTCAGGCTTAAGCACACAAACACACAGTGTACATGCTAATTAAACATTTCATTATTTAACCATTAATCTCCTAAATGGAAAAATAATAACCAGGCAGAAGTGACAGGAGAAACGCCAGCGGGCTTAAGACGAAAAAGAACAGGCAGTCTTGAAAAGAGCAAACAGAAGGATTTTGGATTATATGGACAGTAATGGTTACAGGTATCTGGTAAAAGTTCCTAAATCAGCACTCTTAAATTAGCCCTGGCCTCTATGGGACTGTAAAACGCTTTGTTCGGTGTTACTCTGCCAAAAGCAGACGCCAAAGGCACACCCTCTCTTCATGTTTGAGGTGGAATACTGTACTAAGGATACCGTAGAGCAATCTGATAGCTGTGGTTAGATCTGAACATCTGGCTTAGCATCCACATCTTTACTACAGTATGTACTGTAAGCTGGAAGTATGGTCAAAGAAGTTTCTTCTACACGTGTCTGTAAAAGACACTTGGCTGCAGATCAGAACTCACCACCAACTGCTTGTCAGGCAAACAGTTAGAGGCTGCCAGTATCTCCTGGAGAATACCCACCAGCTCATTTTCTTACAGCTGACAGTGCACATCCTGGTAGCAACATGGAAACTGTAATGACTTTGTGCTAGATTTTATTCTAGTGCTAAATACAGAACAATATTCAACAAACAGAAGTTCAAGTAAAGCTTGTTTCAATTTCTTACTTTAGAAAGAAACTAAGTTTAAATGCTTTGTTTAAATAATAAGCTTAAATCTCCTTGCATAAATGCTAAAACAGAACAATCATCAAGAAGATAAAAAAAAGTAAATCCGTTGGGCATCTTTCTTTGGCTTTAGACAACAATTCTGATGGCAAAAGAACTAAACGGGACAGGCAAAAAAAAGAAGAAGAAGAAGATAAAAAAAAGGCAAAAAAGGAAAATCACTGCCTGGCTAATATTAGCTAACCTGGCTAATATTAGCTAACCTGGCTAATATTAGCTAACCTGGCTGATATTAGCTAACCTGGCTGATATTAGCTAGATAGAGCCTGGTAGAGCCTGACTGGTAGAGCCTGACTGATGTAAGGTTTTTTAAACTGATATTGATGGCAGACAGCCACCATGCGTTTGTGTATTTTTATTATTATGCATGTTTATTTTCAGTCAAGCAAAAAAATGTGATTTATCAGCTGATATTTTTTTCTCTTAGGAAACAAAACAGAAACAGATTTCACTAATATTTGCTCTGTGTATCTATTTGTGAGTCCTTACTAAGATTACACAAGATTCCTGTTTAAAAACGAATCTTGTTTTAATAGTATGATTTGCTCTGTATAGTTTTTATTATCATTTATTGGCTGAGCAGGCTGTGTAAATCAGCTGATACCCACTATTTACCAATATACTGGAATGTGCATTTCTAAATAACATTTCTAATTTAAAAAGTAGAGATGGGAGAAATACCCTCCAACAATGGTGTGAGTGTTACTGTTGTTGTAGTTTGTCCACCAGAGGGAACTCAGCAAGTCATGTTTGGATTACCAGAAACACAACAACCATCTGATCCTAGCATCTAAACCAGTAATCCACGACTTGTCGTTATAATAATACAGGATCATTTTTAACCCACACTGCCATATCATTGTAGTAAAGACTGCACTTAACAACTTTTAAGAAATGTTTGTGTTCTGTGTCTGAAAGAAAGAAATATCAGCTGCTATATCAGACTTTTAAAAACAAATATCAGTATCGGTGAATCATATATCTGTCAGGTTCTAGTGAAAGTAAACATAATAACAAGAGACACATCAAGCCATGCCAGCCTCGCTGTATTTTACTGCTGCTTAACAGCTAAACTGAGTTAAATGCTAACAAGCCTATTATAGCCTCTTAAAATGATAACAGCTCCTTAAATAGAGCTAAAAAAAAAAACGTACAGGGAGTCTTTACTGCTGCTAATGTAGATAAAATTTATAACTGTACTGGTCACTGGTCTCAAGATGAGTAAAAACCCAAAGCTTAGAAATTTAATGCCATGTAAACCTTTACCGGGACCACTGCATTATTATCATAAGGTGAGCATATTGATAGATTTACACGTGCAGCTAAGCATTAAATTGTAAGCCAGACTGTCGCTAAATATGACGAGAATAATGCAAAATTACTGCTGTGTAAACCAGTAAGGTTTCAGAGGGCAAATTTAAACCCTACTCTTCTAAAATGTCATGTTGCCTGATTTTAAATTGATTTTTTTCAGGATTAACTTCTATATTTAGGAAGGCTTGAAAATGCACAAGCCTCAGGGGAGTCTTCAGGAGTATGATGACCTCTGATGCTGAGGAGTGTTTTGACTCTGCTATCAGCCACAAGGACATGACAACCGATTGTAGATAGTGAACAGACATAACATCTTTCCATATCTGGAGAGTAAGGGGGTTCATGTGTGAGATTAGAACTTTAAAACCGGATGCCGATGCCAGCTGTAATGCGTGCATGAAGATGGAATTTCATAGTGAATTTATCTAAATGCTGTACTATTCATCTGTATCTCCTGAGGAATTATCTCTCCTCAATGGCAATCCAAGTATCATCATAAACTGCATTAACATTAGTCATCCTGTTCTTTATTTAGAGGTTCAGCAGTACATTACTGTACATGAGCTATGTTAACACTCTGTAGTGTGGACGTACCGTGAGGCTCCAGTTTACGTGGGGCACCTTGGTGTGGATGTTGAGGCAGAAGATCAGGAGGAGGACTCCTGTCACCACAAGAGCACTGCAGCTGACAAACTCAAAGAAGTAGACCCCTCCACAGGGGGAACACATCATGATAGTTTCTATGCAGATGAAGCCGATGAGTGAAAGGACCTGAAGTGAGAGGGAAGACGACAGGAGAGACGAGAGTTAAAATAAGATACAAATAAGATACACTTTGTTTATTCCACAGGTTGGGAACAGCTTATCTCAATAAAATAAATACAATATCACAAAATCAAATAGCCTGGAAAGATAAAGAATGGAAAAACTTAACAGAAAACTGAAAAAGTGCAGTGTTCAAATGAGCTTAATAAGAGACATCTAACAGAGAAATGCAGGTATCGTGGTGTGAGATGGTAAAGATTTTCTGTATATGTCCTTGTGGCAGCAAAGCTGAACCAGATGTTAGAGGAGGTCTTTAGCTGGTGCAGAGGGTGGTCAGGGTCTATCAACATCCGTTCACCACAGCCACTGTCATGCTGATGACCTCTGCATTGTTAACTGGGGAATCCAAATACTGTATTGATTCAAACTGGATCCAAACAAGAACTGTAACGATGGGAGAAAATTCCCCCGACAAGCGATATGGACACAATCCCACAGCTAGAAGTTCAGTATTCAGGCCATAGACAAACTCCTTTACAGTACTGCACAGGACTACGCCGTCTTTACTTATAACTGGTGCACTGATTGCACATTTTATCTTATTATGTGCAGCAAGGAGGTGCTTTGGTTAGCATTGTCACCTTATTGCAAGAAAGCTTCTAATTCAAAGCACAGCTGGGGTTTATGTGTAATTTGCAAGTTCTTTACCAAAATACCAGCATTTATATGTTAAGACTTCACTTTATAATACATCGTTTCTGCATGCCAAAGACAACTGCTGGTTCTAAATTTGGCTATGGATGACAGGTAGATAAAGTGCTCATATATGATAAAGCACTGCACAAATTTATGTTTAAATGTAGTCTCAAGCACTTTGAGTGCTACTATATCACATTTACCACTCTGCAAAAAATCCTGCAGCCAGGTACAGTCACACTGTCCAGGAAGCATGAGTGTGGTGCTAATAGTGCAGGGATATATTGAGTATATTATGCCAACAACAGGTTAGATAATTCACTGGCTGATTAGTGAATCATCTCTAAAAACTAAAACCTAGGTCAGCATGAGCAGTCTGCATTCATTATCCTAGAATGGAGTTCATTATTCAGTCTCTTTTCTGAATAACTGTGGGATCCGTCAGACCTTTGACAAAATATGTCTGACCTTCATTTCTGAAGCTTGGACAAATCTGACAGTGAGTCTTACCAGCGACGCCAGTTAACAAATGATACGCCAGCACATTAAATACAAAGTATATAAAAACTTAAAATATATACATGCCTAATCAGTATATTGAATATAAGCATAAAGAATACTGTAAGTTATTTCTGTAATATTATGGGATTGAAATGTCAAACTTTCCAGTTCATAAAGCGATTGTCCTATGAATAGACCAGAGTCTGTGATCCCATGAGTTCTGCTCCTGGCAGTTTGTGAAGATGCCCGCTTCCAGCCAACAGCCATCAACAAACCACAGTATGGGAAGAATTCTGCTACTTAGGTGTTCTTCTGCCATCTAGATCCCGACAAAACCACACACAGATTGCCAACTGCCTAGGAGCAGTCCAAAACCAAGAGGCATAGCAAAACCATGAAAATGCAACATAATACCGACCTGAAGTAGCTAAGAATCAGTTTTCTAATTTTATGCAAACTGCAAAGGCCAGTTTTGCATGAGCAGACGTGAAGGATGTGATAAGAGACTCCAGTTTTCCTTTCTCTTTCATTTACAAATGTTAACCCTGAAAGTCTACGCAATGTTAGTGAAACTTCACTCAAGGTCATTTAATGCAAAACAACAGCAATCACATATCAGACATATGCAATTTAGAGATCGAACACAATCTGTTTGACTAATAATTCACACACAGTCATCTCATCCACGCTCAACAAAATGCACTCAAAAAAAACCCTAAAACTTTGCCAAGGAACAGCTTCCCACTCCTCAGTGTTACTTGGAAGATATCCTTTGAGCTGATAAAACATCAGCTTGCAAGCATCAACCCAGCAGCAAAGCGCAGCGGCATAGCTGGTGCTGCTTTACTGCCTCTTGGCCTGGACGGTTTTCCATCATTGAAGCAAAAATGAATTTTGATGTATTGAGATATAATAAGAGCCGTCGCCTACTGTTTGCATCTGTGTTTTAGCAAACAAGACCTATTCATAAAAGATCTAAGAAGCACAATGGCTTGCAGGATCTGTGCTTCATTTACTGTATGCGGGTTGGTTGTGAATCACAAAGCCCATATTTGAACATGGAAAAATAAATACTAACTTTCGTGCTAAACAGTTTCTGTTAAGATGATTTCGGATTATTGTAATATTCCATGCAGGAATGGCTTTTTGTCCAAGTTGTTAAAACATTAAACAAGGAGCTGCGCTCAAGTAGCAAAGCTTGAAAGGTAAGATCGTTTTTTGCTTTTCAAAGAAAGTTACTGAAGAAACTGGGTCAAGTTTGAGGCAGGTATTTTTTTTATTTCGCTACTTGTCATTACTAACAAATCTAAGCAGTTTAAGCACAAACAGCATCCCCTTTTCTTTGGCTCTGGCTTATTTTAGCTACTCAACTGTCTCTGTGTCTTTTGTTGCAAAAGAAAAATGATCACTTTAACAGCAGATATTTGTCCTTTAACTACATTTTACATTAAAACAAAACATTTATCAAAATAACATCATGTACAGTAGTTTATATGAGTATTGAGCTAACTCGTATTTATTTTTCTTCCAAGGAGCCAGGCTCTTGGAATTTCCATTTTTGGAGGAATTTTGTTGTTGTTGTTTGTTTGTTTACCTACTCCAGCTGATGAACCAGTGCTGTGTCTGCACATAACAGACCACTTAGCAAAGAACCTATTTTAAATTGTATTTTTAGCCACCTTTGTGATAGCCTGTCTATTTGGTATCTCTCAGCATCTCAGTATGATGTGGAGTGTATCAGTATCCATATTAGTATCTGAACGTTACATCCTTAGGAAACACACAACAGAAAAAATCCAACAGAGACCTGACACGCGACCTGAGAGACACCCCTGTCCCGGTCTGGGGAAGGATGAGTGTCAAAAAGCCATTCTTAAAGAAGGGACGCAGGAGGGAAAGGCTGAGGAAAGCCAAATCAAACAGGATCTGACCTGAACATCCGGTCTTATAAAGTGGCGAGTGCGAGTGCACGGGTCAGAAAAGGGGTACAACAGTGAGTGTCTGCAGCCATCTGTAAGACACAGTGGAGGCTCTATGGTGGTTTGGGGTTGGATTTTAGATCTTTAAAAAGATCTAAAAGATGTTTAAAAACTTTTAAAAGATCTTTAAAAACTGATGGACGAATGAACGCAGAAAAGCACCATCAGATTTTCATTCACCATGCAATACCATCTTGAAAATGTCTCATTGGGAATGGCCTAATTTTCCAGCTTGACAGTGATCAAACACACTCATCTAATGCAGTAAAAATATATCAGGATACAATAAAGGTGGTCATACCAAATATTGACTTTCAAGCTCATTAGAATTGCACCAACTCTTTTTCTCCTTATATACCTGTACTTCCACGTATGTTTTCACGTGCTTCTAGAAATCACTGCATCTATTTCCCATTTTGCTGGCAAAATATAAAAGAAGGAGGGATTGCGCAAAACTTTTGCAAAGTACTGTAATCTCTGAGTCACAACTGCAGCTTCACAGTGTTGTGCGGGTCACATGAATAGCTTATTAAATCCCACAACATTTAATAAATTTACCCACATTGTGCTTGTGCTGGCACACCCAGTCAGTTCAGGCACATTAATTTAAACAGCCATCCATTTTATTTTAACTGCTTATCCATCGCAGGGTCACAGGGAGTCTACTCCAGTATCCTGCTAATGCAAAGACCATTTAAACTTTAGAACCGTCATCTAACCTGACATGCACGGCGCTTGTAGCACAAAGCTAGAGCTTAGCTAACTTGTGGGACTAATTAAGTAAGGTCCATGGTAAATATGTGCATGTAGGATACTGAGCATTCAAAGAACTTCATTCATTTAGACAGCATTTTATTCTCGACTATCCCACACTGGGTGCAATATGGGGTCAATTCGGATTCAGTATCTTCCCCCATGTGGGCTGGAGGAGCAGAGGGTCAAACTACCGAACACGCGATTAGCGGACAATCTACCCTCCCTTCTGACACAGCCAGTTTCTTGGACTCTCGATTGTAGATATGTGTTGGTTAATCAGTGAGATGAAGCTGAAATAAAAGAACTATCTCTACCACTACACTCCTACACCTTGTTGGCCACCCATCCCTCCATCCATCCATCCATCCATCCTCTTAACTGCTTATCTAATTCAGTGTCACGGGCCGGCCTGGTGGGTGGGTGTTATGTTACAAAGAAGAAAAGAATTAACTTCTAAATGCTCAAACATGTATGTTTCTACACTAGCATAACTAACAAAGAGCAAGTCTAGCAGATTTTATCTCAGAAAACGATCATTTATTCAACCCTGTTTATCCTGTTCAGTGAGCAGAGCTGTTGGATGACTGGCACTGGTAAAGCATAAGGGGAAAACCCTCCACAGTTTGTCAAACTCCAGTCTGATCATTTAAATCTCTGTCTGTGACATTACCTCACAGGAAACCGAAAGGAAGAGAAAATAAGTCGACTGGGCAGACTATCGTTAGGACAACAGTTGAATTGTGTGCAGTTGCCGAAGCCTCATTAGAGTGTGTAGCTGGATAGCAGCCTGTCTTTGACTGAAATACAACTGAAAGGGTCACACCCAAACAGGAATGAAGTGCACTGCACTGGGAGATGATGTAATGTCTCTCAAAGAAAGCATATTACTTCCTCCATGCCCCTGTGTAGCAGGTGTCAGGCAGTCACAGGGGAGGAGGCGGAGAATTGCAAGCACCACACTGGATAATTTTGTAAGTATTGATTATACGTCAACCTTCTCTCTTGTTCAGTCTATTCATCACGCATCGTATGTGCAGGAACAAATGTGTCAGCTTTCTTTCCCTTCTTTCTCCTACATGCAAACAAGTCCTTATCTCAGGGATTTAGCACATTATTAGTTGCCTTAAGGACATCTTGGATGCCGATCCCCTTCTTATACGCCATCTGTTGTGAACAGATAATTAAAGGAGGAGAATGGGAGGCTTTATTGTTGAAACTTTGCAACACTATGTGCAGGACTTCCACACTGTACTACTTCATGCAAAAAAAAACACCTTAAAAATGACCCAAAAGATTGAATGTGCTTTAGCAGGAGCTCACAGTCGGGTATGAGATGGAAAATTTACCCTGAATGCTGGTTAAATTTCACCCCAGAGGAAAAGTGTGTTGCTGCACATATGCAACAGCATACATGTCTCCCCTCGTGCCTGCACAACATTCCTGTTGTCTTTATGCCATCCTGCAAGATCCAAATAAGTCGTGTTTCAACCACACGAGAGTAAAGCACATGGCGTCTCTCTCGGTTAAGCGTGTGCTGACATTTGGGAGCATATGGTAACTTCATTACACAAGATTTGGAGAAAGAACACCTCTCCTTAATATTTAACCTCCACTTGTTAGAATATTACTTTAAAAAAAGGGCAGGATACACACCATAACAGAAAAGCTGTTATTTATCATGAAGGCATGAGCCCTGCTGGGAAACAGTGTGATTGATAGGTGTACTATAAGGCCCAACAAGGTATCAAATTCCTGTCACTATGTCGACGTGCATGATGTGAATATCAGCTGGACTTTGTTGACCCGGTCACAAAGAGACAAAGACAAACCTGCTGTCAGGATGGGCGCACCTCGATCAGGTTACCTGCCACTGAGAGTTTGTACTGCTCAGTGCAGGGCCAACAGCAGCAGCATCACATGTATCAATTCACCCAAGATATGACAGGTGACTGGCCCCCTTAAAGCTTTTGTAAATGCATATTTGTGGAAAAAAAGGACGTATGAAAAAAGGAAGGTTTGAGGGGATTAAACCCAACTACTTTAGTGTCTTTCAGCCATTTATTCAACTGTTTAACACAGAATTCAGTCAAACAAATTTATAAAACAGGATTCCACTTATAAAGCCCTTTAGGTTGATTGGACATAACAGATAAAGGCTGCCGTCAGCAAATCTATTCTTACTTGCCAATAAACAGATGGCAGATAATGAATGAATACCTAGTCGATACAGACGTCCCAACCATAAACTGGAGCATCGAGTGTACTGCTGACAGTAGACTGCTGCCATTTGCTACATGATGCCCTTTTGCAGTGCATCTCCTCCACATTGTTTTGCTTGTTTTTCCAGCTCTGAAAGATCATCACTGCTCCTTGGCTGGCACAGAGTGAAACAATTAGAGGAGAGAGCAGTAAAAATGAAAGCCGATGAAGCCATTAATGCTTGGCAGGATGCCTTTAAAGGCCTCTTCTCTCAAGGCCTCCTCTAAGGTACTGAATATAAACTTGGATGACTTTGACTGGTCCTCTCCTTGTTCACAGAGGAGAAACGTGGCTATTTGAAACTGCAAAAGTACTCCCACGCTTCTGAAGTCTAAAGTACAAACAGAAGATTATTAATAGATATGAGATGACGCTTGTTCTCTTGTACCCACAATGCCTGTAATACAGATTCTACTTCAAATACCTCAACTGATTTTTTTTAATGAGTTATTTATGCGCTATTCATGACTTGGCCTATTTCGGGGTATCACAACTAAGTACTTTTTCTGGAATAGAGCAAAATGAGACTTTGAAGTATCACAGATATTTTTGTAAACAAATCTAGAATTATTTTTAGGGCAAAGTCTTTGCACAGATGTTTGTGTTTAGACAAAACTTAAGACATAAGGAGTTTGGCTTAAATTGTTAAATGAGAAAGAAACTGCTATTCAGGTAATCTACAGGCACACCTCCCAAAAAACATACATAGTATATATATATATATATATATATACATATACATATATATATGCAATTACATTAAAACCACAAAACCAAGCACCTGGATGTTTGCACAGGTGGAGAATGTAATTTTATGGTGTCTTATGTCTGGGCAGAGGATGTGGCTCTGTGGCTAAAAGTAAAAAAACCCAAAAGAAATTAATTGACCAGCAAAGTCTAAGGCAATACTCAAACATTTCCGGTTTGCTATGAAATGCGTGAAGATTATAAATCTAATACTTTTAAGTTACCGCCTGCTCCAAACTTCTCCCACGCTGATGACAGAAGGATTCCTTGCCTTCCTTCCCACATACAGGTAAACATCACAGGTGTGCAACAGACTGTGAGCTTCTCTCAGACCACTGGGACACTCAGCCACCCACAAGCTAAAAAAAAAAACAACAACCTTAAAACTTTTTCTGCATAAGTTTTTAAAGTATTGCAGAGAAACTGCCTCCCACATACATTGTTCTCCTCCGTGTTGTTGGGGATACACTCCAACATGTGTGTGAGTGTAGCCCCGTAGTGAATTTTTCTTGGCAGAGGAAGAAGAGAAATGGTCCCAGTTTGATAGATGTTTCCTCCTCTGGTGAGTTATCAGATCTTTGGGACCCTTTCATTGTGCTTTGTTGTTGCCTCTTATCCCAGTTCAGACATCTGGTTTGGGTGAACTGATTCAAAACTTCCATCAGAAATGTGTTTTCCACTGACTACAGCGTGAAAAGAAATGGTGATAACACTTTTTATCCTCAACAGCAACTGAATGGGTAACACATACAGGTTTTCCCAGGTGCCTCACCGAGTACAGCCGTATTTGCACACGTGTTTAAGTGGTCTGGAGCAGCAAACAGCCACACAGTGAAAAAATGGAACTACTTGCAAATATGCAAGTGGTAACTAAAAGTTATCAAGACGTTCAAGGAGCACAAGCGAATCGCAAATGGCAGACATTATTAAACACTATAAATCCCTCTGGAATAGTACCCTATTATGTAGGAGCCATTATCCATTCAAAAACAAGCTCGCCTCTATACATTCACTAGTCATGGGGTAGGCATACTGTTGAAGTGACCTCTAGTAGGGATGCAGTGAAGGTTAAGCCAGGACCGGTGTGGCTAACTTTAGAATGAAACCTCGGGGTTATTATTGCACATAAATAATAAGTAAGGTATTAATGCTTAGCATACAGCGAGTTTAACTATAGCTGCACTTTATCGTGTTTTGCCCCCTGGAAGTTGAGTTTTCCTCCACATGTTAGTTGCTGATCAGTAGAAGTTATGCACCAACGGTGCGTCACAGCTTGGCCACTTAAAGGAAGGCTGTACATCTCTGAGTATTACTGCAACGATGTCGCCATGCTTTGACTTACCACTTCAACCACCTTTAAAATCCCCAAGTATGACTTGAGGTACTCCATGTCGCACACTATCCCCCCAAAAACGTTCCGCGAATGGACGGGCTCGGTGGTGGGCTGGTAGGGACTGCTGGCCCCGGAGATCATGGAAGTGTTGGAGGCCTCGCCGTCAAAGCCCTCCGTCTCCTCGGTGGTCCTCATGATTTCTGGAGAAGCTGAACTCTTTTTTTTTTTAAGAGAGAGAGAGACAAATGGAAACCGACGCTGCCAGTCCTCCTGGATCTACCTCACTGCGCGGCTTATGTGACAGAGAGCACACTTTGTTCCACGCAAGCTGGGAGCAGATGGGGAAAACAAACCGGACAGTCCACTTTTCGTAGCCACCCCGAGGTGAAACCGCAACGGTAGTTGTTCTTTAACATCGCGTGCAGGACTGGTATAGGATCAGTGCAGCCACCCCCTCCACCTCCAGGCGGTTCCTCCCGGTTCCAGTGTTGCGCCTCTCCAAAACAGCCGCACTTAGAACTATGTTAGGTGGGTCACTTGTTCGAGTCCTTGTGCCACTCACTTTACCACGGACGACTCCGGTTAGTTCGGCAGATCGGGGGGAAATGCCTGCCGTGCTGTGAGACCGAAAAACATTCACCCATTGTGGCCCAGAAGAAGCGAGAGAGATCCGCGCTGTCTCCTGTTGTAAACTTAATTATGCAGCCTCCACAGCAGCAGCAGCAGCAGCAGCGCGCAGTACGGCTGCGTACGGACAGCGGCGTCCCTCGCTGTGGATGGAAAGCAGGCTTGTCTCCGCCCTCCTGAAAACTGCACATTCTTCAGAGTAGGCTCTGCGCCCGGTTTAACTGCTCCCAAACAGCCTGCAAAACGAATCCAGCCGGAACCACGCCGACAGTACCGAGCCCTTCTCACACACTCACATTCGTCGGTGTGACCGTGCAGTATTTGAACACCAGCCAGGCCTGGTGACACGATTTCTATTTTCCCAAGGGGATTACAGTGTATGGCTGCTTGTCTTTTAAAACCCACTGAATATCACCATCATGATCCACATAGCTTTTTTTTCCTCTTACGTTTTATATGTGAACATGTCTAATACAAAATACAGACATATTTCAAATTACATGTTGCCAATTCTCTGCGTATAAAGCAGGTTGGTTTCACCGAGTTATTAAAGAAGTCAATGCAGGTTAGAAATCGTACCATATATGTAAAGTTAGTCTAACTTCAACAAATGAAAGGATAGGCCTAATTTTTTTCAGGGGCATAAGCTGTGCTGTAGAGCCCCCCCCCAACCCCCGTACTTTACTGCTCTCTCGTGGCGCTAAGCAGCATTAAAGGTTGCCTAGGTAATTGCAGGAGTCCAAAGATGCTGGAAATAACATTTGGAATAAAACATAAAAAAACCCGACACTATGCATGTGACTGGTGTAATACATTGAATTACAACTACAGTATAAATGTGTTGTAACCCTGAACATGGTGAGAAGTTATCACAATGTTTTAGAGATAAATGAAGCACTTCAAAAAAAAATCTGAGCGAAATAAAATCTGAAATATTGATTTATTTTTGTCCCCTTATTGTCGAGGATCAAGAAAGAAAATTTTCCAATGCCAAAAAAATAAAAAAACCCACATTCTTATAATATAGGGTTAGGATTAGGGGTATGTAGATCTCACAGGTCGATGTGTGTGACTTAAAGTTGTAACCGTTGCTTTCTCATCACACACAATTCTAATCAAATGTTGTACAAACACACACACACACACACGGAAGCCAACAAAAGTTTGGATTCTTGGTTTTATTGAAGCCAGGGGTCTGATAAACATTTTCCTTATCTTTGTCGGCATAATAAGCTAGAATCCGCATGGCAGCTTGAAGGCTACAGAATTTGTGTTACAGACATACAATCAAGCTTCTGAATTATCCCAGGGCACAAAAGTGCAGCCAGCCATGTGCTTACAATGTTTTGATATCCTGAATACAAAAGGACTGGAAGCAGAAGCTCATAGTCTCGTATAGATGTAGACTGTCGATAGTGGTCGAAGGCAATTCAGTTAGGATGAGAAGAGGAAGTTGCTTTCCACTGAATTTGTGTACCAGAAGAAAACAAAAATCCATCTTGGGAGCAAAAAGTAATCCAAGTCCAACTTTCAAGCACAAGCAGCAAGAGAGCACTTCATTCCACTCAGCTAAATGCCAAATTTAACAAGTGTGGCCATATTGTTGACAAATTAACAGTTCAAACTTCTTTTAAACATAAGTGTGATATGACGAATCTCTGTATTCTGAAACAAAATGAAAAATCATGACCAAAAATGCCAAATGTGCAAACAAATGGGGGTTTATCCGTAGTTTAGCTACAGTGAAAGCTGTACTGGCAGCAATTGTTAGAGGATTTGTATTAGTTACAATATTGCCAGCAGAAATGTGTTATTCCATAGTTAACCACAAGGGGCCCATTTAACAACCTCAGCAGCAAAATGGCAATTTCTCTGTGCATGTTAACATCTTGTTTCATTCTGAAATGAGGCAAGGCAAAAAGAAAAAGATGCACTCTGCATCTGCAGCTGTAGCAACAGTGTCCAAAGAAAAGTGCTTATTCCAAAATGCGGCCATGCTGCTCCTGGCTGTTCCGAAATTGTGCTTCATCCACGTCGGCAACGGGCCCTCGAGTGCACGTTTCCCCCCAACCAGTCACAAAAACAAAGCAAAGTAAAAACAATAAGAGCTTCATTTTGTTTAAAGTAAACCCAGAACTGCTGTGTTGAATCACTGTGACAATGCACGAAGCAGACGGTACACTGCTATTCCCTTACAGAGCGAATGTTTGAACAAAAAACCTGCTGACTGTTCAAAGACCAGTTTCAACAGCCAAAACACAATTATGGTACGCCCCCTTCTGTCTGCTGAAACTCCAGACACGGCTTAATAGAGAAAGACATTTCTACCATTTTACAGGGTGTTACTTAAAAAAAATGTTATAGGCCAGTCAGAGGTTTGGAATGCAAGGGCTCTATGCAAGAGTTGGACAAAAGAAACAAACAAAAAAAGGCCGCTGGTTAATCTTATGGATGACTACAAATGCAGATAATATGCATCTTTGGTTCTGTTCCAATTCACTCCAGTTTTCATTTTTCTTTTTTGGCTATTTGTAGCAAATAGCTGCTCTCCTATCACTTGCCATTCATTCTGCAAAAGTTACTGAAATACACCATCCATGGGATTAAGTAGGGCCTTGTATAGAGATTTAAGAATGAAAATGTACATTTCATTTTGATTATGGTATCATGAAACCATAAATATTATACAGACAATTTGATATGGTACAGTATAATTTTTGATAAAAAAAAAAAAAGCATAGAAATGACACAAGACATTTAAGCAACCCCTTAAGGACACACAAATTAATTAGGAGCTTTCCCGTGAAGGCAGGGTGCCTGCTGTGATAAACTGTTAGCTGTACATTGAAGGCAAAGGTTGTCATCTTAAATGGGCACTAAAAAGGGCCGGAAAAAACAAAAGACCTGATCTGAAAAACAAAACAAAACAAAAACCCCGAACCAAAACAACAACAGGTTTTCTACAGGGATGAGCTTCTACAGCTACTTCACGTAGAAACTGGGAATGTTTAAACTGACATGCAAAACACAGCGAGAGCAAAACATGTGAAACCAGAGGACGACAGTGGTGTCTAACACTGAATGTTAGAAAATCTCATTTTGTTCAAACCACAGCAGGTAATTTTGTGTGTGTGCCTGTGTGCTTTGGCTGCAAATGAGTGGTTTCAACCACAGTAAGTCTGGGGGACCCAAAGGTTCCATCGTGTGGTTCCTTCTCAGTATCAGCAGCCTTACAGTTTTTATGAAGGCATTCAATCTCTAAACATTATGAACTAGGCCACAGAAATCGTATTTCTGAAGAATAGAAGCGACCACAGGCTTGTTGTACATTTAAAAAAAAGAAAAAAAAAAGTAAAACGAAATAAATTATTTGGATGACGAGAAATTGATAAAAAAACCTTTGAACCGATGGTGCTACAAGTGCGTTTCCTCCTGCGCAGACAAGCACCTCTACTATGACACAAACAGCTAACTGTGCGAGGCACTTAGGAGTTATAGTAGGAAAGATGCTGCCCCATCCCCTCCCCCAAATATACCCACCTGTAGCTAAAGAAGCAATTCTGCTGCGACCTCTAACTTCTTGTCAAACCATTTTATTCAAAGAAGCTATCTTAAGAATTTGGACAAAAAAAAAAAAAGCGCTTTATACAAAATCAAGTTAACCTGAATAATTTTTTTTGTATTCATATTTACAGAATTCTTCGAGATGACTAGGGCGACTGATATGCTATCCGCTAACTGAACATGTCATATTAGTGTCATGGTGTCAGTGGCATTTTTACATGTTACGATGAGCCTTTTCTTTAAACCGATAAATGGTGCACAACATGAAATAAAAAGGAGGAGGTTTGTATAAATACATCAGTATCATATCCAACATTGTTTTGTAAATATTACATATGCTTGCAAGTATTTGAATTTATTAATGAATATATTTAAATACTTTTCCAAATGCAACCAAATTCCTTCAGTATGACAAGCGAAACCAGAGGAACCAGTATATTGCCACTCTTAAACCTATGAGTAGAGTGTATGAGCCCAGAATCTGGGGGGCCTTCAGCCCAGCAGGTCAGGCTGACTGCCAGGGAGTGTGCACACATTTCCCTAAACTTACAAAATAACATTTACAGTGGAAGAGAGGATAGAAAAAGCCAAGCCTTCAGCACTTATTTCATTAATACCTCCATTTATGTTCTCTTTCTCTTCTCATCTCCACTCCCTCTCCAACCTTCTGATAGCCTTTGAATCTCATTCAGTGAAACCACTGTGTGCTGACTGATACAGGCGTTAGGAATTTGGTCAATTTTTTTTTGTTTTGTTTTTTTTTATGCTCACATGTACATATATTTTTCCAGAGTATTAAGTGGACGATGCAGCTGTTTTTGTTGCCTTCACGCTTCGTTCTCTGTCTGTGGTGGTATGTTGTTAGCTGACACCATGGAGTCTTGCTTGCGAGTCATCCGGTCCAACTCAGCCTGGACATCAGTCAAACCCGGCTTCTGCCCTTGGAAAAAAAGACAGGAGACAAAGCCCAAAAGTAATCTCCTGTAGCTTCTGCGCCTGCTCATAAAAACAGCTTTCTATGGCAAGCAGATGGATGGATGGATGCGGTTTGAATGGTGATGCGTTCCCATGCTGGAGGTTGGTGGCTTGCTGCCACAGTTAACACGCACACATGCAAAACTAATCATCAGACAAAAGGAACATGCATTATCCTGTTGCAGAGATGTTAACACTGCTCAGCGCTGGAACAGAGTACATGTTAGTGTTCTCAGGCAGAGATGAGTTATGCAATCATTTCTCTCATGTTTCACGGGGTACAATCAAGCTATCGCACAGCCAATATTTGACTTTGTTACATTTAATATAACAAAGAAAAAAATGTTACCTAAGTTAAAAAAAAAAGATTAATTAATAGAGCTCAAAAGCGGCAGGACAAGGTATGGTGTGAGTGAGATGCAGTTATGATGGGTGGGATGATCAATACAGGCCTGCCACAAGTTTCCTCAGCTGTCAGAAGTTCAGTCTAAGGACAACTTTTTTCTCCTGCTTTAACCTTCTCACTCAGGCTGTAGAGATAAATCTCCAGACAGCAAAATGGTCCACAGTCTCTAACAAGTGTTTGCAATTTAGAGTGCACGCACTCTGTAACACACAGCATCCTATAATCCTTACTGCTTTGGTAAGAGATCAACTGCTAACCTATGAGAGAGAAGGGGTTAAATAATCTGCAACTTCTGTTTTTCACTGAGATCAGAGGTGAAAGCACTGGAATTAGAGGTTGTACCTGTTTTCTTGGCAGAGCCTTGCACTCCAGC